TCACCCTGAGCAATGTGGCCTTGGGGATCAGCAGTGTAGCTGTGGTCAGGAAAGGCCGGTGAGATGATAAGCTGCTCTCTCTCTCTGCCTGTGGAGTGAATACTAAAGAGCTGAAAAGAAATTTGACAGTTGTGCTGAACAAGTTTGCTATGTTTTACTGCAGTGATCTTGTGAAAGACATTCTATTGGCTGGAACCACACGTGGGTAGGATCCTGGTTTGCCTTCTTTATGGTAAAGCTATAGAGACAAAAAAGGAACTGCGGGAGCCTTTTTTGCTGCCACCTCCTGGCTGGAGTATTTCAATGCATTCATTTTATTTATTTCTTGTATCTTGGCAGAGCAAGTGACATCAACTAAATATTTGATCCTGTCCTATCCCAGTCCTGGTGAATAACACTATGGCCGCACCTGGGAGGGCAGCACAGTGACAGTGGCCCTCTTCACATGCCATGATGGGGTAAGGCAGTCCTACTGCACTCGGAGACGGCTTTGCTCATTCTACAGAGTAGCACCTTGGGCTTATGCCCCAGAGTCCTGTCCTGATGGTACCTACACAACTATGCACACATTGAACTAAATAGGACTTCTGGGTAGATATGCACAGAACCAGATTTTCCCACTGCTGCATGTGTTTCCAGTGTGTTTCCAAAGCTATGTGGCAGGCAGAAGTTCATTGTGGCACAGAGAGTCAGTAATGGGGGAAAGTTACACCTCCTGAATTTCTGGCTTTTAGTTGGTGACATCAGATGATTAATAGGTGAGTGACCCGACCCACCTGTCAAAGTGGCCCACTCTGGTCTGCTGATGTGATCCTGTTCCCCACACCTGTGTTAAAGGCACAGAAGGCTAGAGGGAGGGACAGCATGTTATTTCTGCTTAGAAATCCCAAATACAAAAATTATTTCCAAGTGCATAAATCAACATAGATTTTATTGCCGTGAAATGTTCACTTAAATGTGGTCATCATCTTCAGAGACCCATGTCTCATGGACAAGTCATGTAAGGAATGGAAAGGTAAAAGAGAATGAGTTTAACCACCAAATTATAAATTGCTGTGGGGTGGAGCAGGGAAGAGGAAAGGAACAATAATCTTTGCCTTGCTTGTGACCAAGTGCTCACTCACATTTAAGTACAATCACAACAACTGCTATACAGAACAGAACCCATCAGACAAAAGAGAGAAAAAATAGCTCTTTAAAAATGATTCCCCATGAAAGAAACTGAAGTTTGGTCTTTTTCTGATGACCTCATCTTCCCAACCCCTCAGTCAGCGCTTCTGCAAAGTCTGCAACACAGCCAGGAGGAAGAAGCCTCTGAAATTCCACTTCCTGGATGCTGCTCGTATCAGCTCCTCTTGCCCTTTTAAAGCAAACTACTGGAACAGAAGAGTTATCTTTCCAAAGTCTAAGATAAATTCAAATTTATCTGGATTAATTAGCAGCCCTTTCAGATTTGTTAATTTCCAGAGCAAAAAAACAAAACAATGTTCTACAGTCTTTTCAAGGTTGGAGGGAACCACTACATGGGGTGGGGGCTCAAGGATGCATCTGAAGAACAGGATGCCACCATGTGAGTGCTCCTATCAAGCGACCATGCCAGTGAGGAAATTTCAAAAGGAAGATATGAGCAGTGGGTGGTATTTACACAGAGGTCTGAGAGAGAGAGACTGTACACTGAATCAGGATTTGTTTTTTTTGTTTTTTGTTTTTTTGTTTTTGTATCTTACAGAACATCAAGCCTGACCTGCAAGAAGGTCATTTCACACATTACGCAGCAACAAAATAGTGGTTGGCCCCAAGTGTACACTCAAATGGCCCTCAAGCTACATCTAGGCTGCAGCTCACCCACCGTCTTCTAACAAGTGTACTTCGTCTGAAACACATATTTTCAAACAACTGTTTATCACATCCACACTAAACATTTTTAGGCGTACACTTTTTTTTTTAATTTATAAAAACACCATAATACAGGAAGGAGGCCCTAAGTACGGGTGCCTGTCTGGTTGGATAAAAAAGATGACTGTATTTTGCTAATGAGCTTACTTATAGATAAACATTGGCAACCAAAGGATTATAAAAGACTGAACAGTTAAGATACTTTTGAATATGAACTGGGGTGGAGCTGTGAGTGGCAATAAAGGTTTTTGCCAGGATTTCAAAATGAAGAAGAGGTCCTTAGCTTTTACCGTCTGAAAATGCAGTGGTCCCATGAATACACAATTCCAAAAACCCATTCATCCCTCTCTTGATTGAATAAAAGTATTTCTAAATTACAGCCACCAAGGCTGTCCCTGGTCATTCATGCTTGTGGGTCACAGCCAGGGTGTTACAAATGATGGCTACAGGGGACCCGATACCTGCTGCACAAAAACAATAATCACCACCATATTTAACAAAAATGGTGAATCCTTAGAAGGGAGGGTTAAATGTGATTAAGTTACACAAGAGGAGACCTCAGGTAAAACTTCTTGATACCAAGAGGTTTGTCAATTCTGTGTATGAGTGTGTGTGAGAGAGTAAGGGAGAGCGAGAGAGCAAGGGAGAGCGAGAGCGCAGCTGACTTTTGACACCTCACAAAACCCCACCATGCAGTCTACTTTGGTAAGCAGTATTATATCAGAGCCATGGACTCATATGAGATCAACCCTTCTCCATGTATTGAAAAATGGCTTGCATTTTCCAATGCACAGAAGAGGAGCCGTGTTCTCATGTGAATCCAACGCTCAAGTGTTATACTGTTCAAACAAGCAGGCCACTCACATGAATGTGTGTATGCAAATTGGGTGTGTGGAAGCAGGGGCATAGCCAAGATTTTTGTTAGTGAGGCAGAAGCGACATGATTAGTCAGTTAGTTATGTATTTCTATTGTTTTACTTGATGGGGGGGGCAGCTGTCCCCCGCCCCCTCTTGGCTACGCCCACGTGTGGAAGTATAATCAGAACCAGCTCTGTGGGATTCCTCTATATTGGCAGGAATTAAGTGTGTGATGCACAACACGTCAGGGATTTATTTTATAAATCTAAACTTGTCAACATTTCAGCTGGGTTGGGCAACTGAGATTAGGGCAGATCTGCAGCAGTTAGCTAAAGTGTGACTTGCTAATTCCTGCATATCTAACCACTGTGTAAGGCATAGCTGGAAGGACTAGTTGCAAAGTTAGCAACCCTATTACATTTTGACCCTGGGCATATTTCATGATGCTTTAGTGAAAAGTTTATTTTATTCTAGATTTGGGTAAGTTTTGTGAGTATTTGGAATGTCAGAACATCATACTATTTTAAGAAGAGGAAGAAAGACAATTGAGAACAATAAGGTTGTGCTCTAGTCTCTGCAGTGAGCAAAGTGTGTGTGTGTGTCTCTGTGTGGCAGATTTGGTGTTCCAGGCCCAACATGCGCATATGTTAAGTGCAGGGTCTAGGTGAATGAACCTGAGCCCAGAATAGCAAACCAGACTTTCAGCAGATGTCTGGGAAAGGAAATTTTAAGTCCAACTTTATTATAAGCCACAGCTAGAAGGCTTTTCTCCCTCCTTTAATGAACCTAACAGAAACAGAATGAGCCTGGCAAAAGCTGAGGCATTAAGTGTCAGAATCATGAAACAGCTAGAAAATTATAACTCTCTGGCTGTCTTGGGCATGGCTGCTACAAATAGCTACTTCTGAATCAGATTATTGAATTGGATAATGTGCTGGTCTGTAACAAATCTTGAGTTTAGGAATGTGTGTTCTGGGGGGGGGGGGGCATTTAGCACTATTATGACATTTTCTGAATAAGCAGGGAAAGGGGGAACAGCATCTTCCATGCTCATGCCTTCTGGCCCTCACTCCTTATGCACATTCAGCATGGTGTCTGTACAAATGATGCCCTACACAAGTGCAAACTGTTGGCTCTGTCTGTGTGATCAGGGACCTTTCCTGATTGTGTAGTCAGAGCTTACACACAGGATCTTTCAGACATTGCATCAGAAGTACATTGGGGAAGAGCTGGCAGGAGCAATCCTACCCCCCCCCCCCCCCGCAAGAAGAGCTGAACAGTGTGGCTGAAGCATGATCGTACAAGCCGTTGAAGAGGGGAAAGAGAAACATTGTGACATCACAGCAACACAGTAGATCTCTCCAGTCCCATTTTCTGATCCAGCAGAGCATACAGCTGTTTATGGTTTTCTGCAGGCACAGAACTCAGCTGCTAAGATTAAGGGCAGGTGGGAAAGATGGTCAGAAGCTCCAGCTCTTGTTTAGTTGAACTTCTCCTAGCTAGCGGTAAGAAGGCTATGGACTCAGTGGCCACACCCTCCCAAGAGAAGGCACCCAGGCTGGAATGACAAATCGTTGATGGGCTTTGACATCATTCTGGTGTGGATCTATCAGAAGCTCTCGGGCCTCAGTATTCAGTCCAAACAATGCAGGGCTTGTTATTTGAAATATCTTCAAGTTCTTCCACCTCCTATGCAAGACATGCTTCCATATTGTCTCTCGTGGGGGCAAATGAAAAGAGGCACTCTTCTCTGTTTCATCCATTGAATGGGTGATGATGTGACACAAGTTCACCAGGATGCCATATTCTTTTAGTCTCCGACTAGGCTGTCCAGTCAGAAAAGTGTTTCAGTGTTAGCCTGTGATAGGTTAGAATTGTGCTGCTTCTTCCTGGAAGTCTGGAAGTGCTAAGGGGGGGAGTGTCAGTGTATCATTTGGAATGATCAAATGTACGTGCGTGCGTGCGGACACACACAAAACATCATTGAGAGAGAGAGAGGCTTTTAAAAAAGTGACGGTTTCATCCCACAGTTACTGTACATAGCTGTCCTTGGGGAGAGCAGGGGTGGTGGGTTTTAAAAAACCTCCCCCTCCCCAAATTCAGTTTGGTCCACTGGAGCCAAATCACTTTTGATGAGATATATAGATATAGATATATATGTAGATCTATATATATAGAGATAGATATATGTTTTAAAAAAAATATCAGCAGCAAGGTTCTCTGGAAATAGATTCTGTTTGATGTAGCTAGTCTGTCTTTTCTGTTTTGCCCTCTTTCACAGCAGCCTCTGAAGTTTTCCGCAGGGGGGCTTTCTCCGAGTTGGCGTGTCCTTGGCCGGATTCTGCTGCTCCGCCATTTTTGTGTGCCGTGTGTTTTTCCAAGTAGTTCAGCATTTCACTGAGAACAGTTTGGAAAGTGCTGAGGGCAGCACATATCGCAGGCGTCCCAAAGCCATGAGTGATCAAGCTGTAAAGGAAGGAGAAAGAGAGAGAGAGAAATATTGAAGAGTTTACTGCACACAGATTTTCATTTTGCTGAAATTGAAGACTTGCCCACTAAAATATTTATTACTTTCCGAGTGAGGAAGACACAAAAATAATCTATCTATTCAGGCCAGAAACATCTTCAAAGGTTGGTTTTCTTGACAGAAGCTTAGGTCTTAAGTGGAGCCCTTAGGGACCAGATTTTCAGTTGGTGTAAACCGGTGTTGCTTCAGTTACTGTGGCCAGGATGCCCTGGAACCCCACAGGTAGAAGAGGATGCTATGAAGTCTCCCAAAGCAATACAATGTGACGCCCAACAAAACTGCCTGTTAGGATGATGAGGAATAAAGTCCTGCAAGAAAAAGCCTCAAAGGTAGAAATATGTGTGGAAACACACATCTTGCACCCACTGGGAAACTCTGGCCCAATCAGGTACTTGTGCACGGGTGTTTATAGGTTTATAGGTAACATCCACCCTTGGCATGCTGTGGTGAGAGGCAGTGTTGCAACAAAAGTGATTCCTGCAGTAATAATGTCTGGAGCTGGAACATATACTGGGGTGGCAAAACAAGGAACAGGCAATCTTCATTCTGGGAATAGGTATGAAGGTGAAGCGTTAACCCCCCTTCCCAAATACATGGCCCTGATCCAAATCATACTTGGGATACAGTCACATGTAGTTTGGTCTTTCATTTGGATTAAAGTTCAGGTTGCCAGTTTCCCCCCCTGTCATGTCCCCTATACCTTTAATAATTGCCTGGCTGGCAAAAATCAGCACTGAAGTTTTTGCTGGCGTGGCTATTCAACAGTGGGCAAAGCTTAACATGCTGGTTTCTGACTGTTATATAGCTATGAAATGCTGGAAGTATTTGGATACAGCTAAGCTTGCACTGGAGACAGAGGTGTAGGAAGATCAGGTGGTACCCGGTACGGAAAAGTTCTTGTCACCGCCTCCCACATTGATTTTTTATTTTTTTATTTGCCTGCAAAATTGGTTTTATGTTATTTCATATTTTCTTACAGAGGAATGTGGATTCTGGGCCCCTGATAACAAGTAGGCAACTGTGGACAGAAACTTAAATCTACAGGATGGATTGTGTTTTGGCTCCACTGAATTGAAATTTCAGCCTTCATGACATATGAAAACGGCCAAGTAAACAGTTATTTTTGTGGAAGAGGGTCAAGATATTAACTGATATGCATGAAATTTCAGATATAGCTATAAAATCCCTAGTGTAGTAAGATAAGACCTTTGAAGCAGGCATTTTTTAAAAAAATGTTTTTTATGAACCGCCCTAGTAGGACAGTAATTGTTCCTTGATAATTTGTCACCCCCTCTCCATGATGGCACCTGGGGCGTCCCGCCCCCCCTCCTACGCCCCTGACTGGAGGCTAGAGAGAGGAACCTCCTAGCTTCCTAGACTGTCATTTATCCTGTGCTGACCTTCCTTCAGACTAGAATTTCTGACCTCATTTCTTACTTTCCTCTTTTCTTTGCCACCTTGGCATCTGCTTTGAGCCTCTCGCCATTTGAGATGAAAGAGAAAGCAAGGCCCATTGCTCCTCTTCTGTACTTACCATGATACAATGCACTTTTGGGGGAACGAAAATGGATTTGTATTTGTAAAGAGTGTTCTGAGAACTTTGGCGGTGGTGGGATATTATGCCAATTTTCTCAAGTCATTATGCAGTTAAGCACATGCAGCCATGCCCAGAAGCTGGATGGAAAGGGCGTTTCCCCTTCATGTTTTAATGATATCCTTTCACTGAAGCAAAACCAGCCAAATAGGCCTCAAGACTTGGACTCTCCTTTGGCAGCAGCTACAAGGTGTCGCACACCCCACCCCACCTCTCCACCCCCAGGCTGACAGAGCTCAGTCTTATTGTGAAGGAAATAGCTTTACTCTCCATGGGAGGTGGAGGAGAAAAAGAGGAAGCCACCATCTGTCTATCCCCGTTTACAGCAATGGCCAAGTCTGGATATTTCTAGCAGCAGAAGTTGCTATCAAATATTTACAGCATACTGTGGCAGGCTGATGATACTCAAAGAGAGACATGTGCCTCTGATATGCCCTGCTCAGTGTGAAAACATCTAACCCCATGAGTGGCCCCTATGACTGCAGAAGCCCCTTCCTGCAGCCTCTACATATTACCTGCGGTTCTTCTCAGTATGTAACTTGTTCATGGTTAGAAGCCAGAATGCCACTCCTTTTGACGGAAAACACCAGGGCTTAGTGCCAAGCCTTCAGATGCTTTACAGCAGGCACAGCCAAGGTGGGGCCCTCTGGATGTTGCCGGACATCAACTCCCATCAGCCCCAGCTGGCATGGGAGTTATAGTGCTAAAGGGCCACCCTTGCTTTACATAAATTTATTTTGGGAATGAAAAGGTGAGAGCAGTCTCCAGTGTTTTCTTGAAAGGATCTCCCTTGGTCCATAATCACATTTTTGTGGCTCACGCACATGAGGATCTACTTGCAACGAGTGTATCAGCCGTGTCTCTTGCTGCATGAGGGACTGCATCGGCCACAATATGGGCATGCTTTATGCAGGGTTTCAGCTTTTCTGGCACTGAAGCCTATGCACATAGCTCAGTTGCCCATGCCGGATGTGTGCATATTGGAGGTGGGTCAGGGGAAGCCGCAGAGGCCGTGGTATCGCCCCACCACTCCTTTCTGGGCATGGCCACTCGCCCCATGAATAAGTGTGTGAAGAGGATTGCTAACACGCCAGCTGCAATTTGGGTGGCTCACACAACCTTTTAAAAATACATATGTTATTATTACCATTACTATTCATTATTGTTAATAATAATAATTTAAAGCATGCAAGTATATTAAAATGATTTCAGGAGGAAGAACAAGTTGATGAGAAGGACTTGTGTCCTAAAGCTACACCCACAGCACCCTCTACGCTAAGCCTATTAGAACCCACACATTCCCTTAAATACTATTAAAGTGCTTTGTGGTAGTTCTACTGGTTGTGTTTTAGTTAACTTTGTCTGCAGAAAATGTTGCAGATACCCTGTCTGAGCAGCGCAAGGAAAGTATATATGGCTCCATAAATTTTTTGGCACTTCAAGAATTTAAATCCTGGAAATGTCCCATCTCTACACTATGCTCCATGAAGTGCTCCACCTTCAGCCACCGTTTCATTCAAGCACATTTTTATAATTGATACCTGGGGGAAATCTTTGCACTTATCCCATCCTGCTCTTGCTTAGAGAGACCTGCAATATCACTTATTTGATTTAACCTGTTTGGGACTGAATGCTCATTTAGGTGCAATTGGGAAAATGTCACCTAGTCCTATGTCCTTTCTTGCTCCCACATATTCTTCTTTTGTTTAGCTCACTAGGAGAGCAGCAGAAAAGAAATTACTGCTTCTCACCAGCACCACCAGAGGGCATCTGACCACTCAGGAATGACAGCACTTTGGAACAAGACAATAGTTTCCATTGCATTCTAACTGTGCAGATTTTCATGAATTTGGATTTTATGTTTAAGCCCACATATTCAACTGGATAGTTTATCATTATGCAAAAACTGAAGTGGTTTAATTGTTTATTTACCTAAAACATTTATATCCCACCTTTCCTAAGGCAGATAACCAACAATATTTTAAAGAAAAACAAGGAAGAATAGCTAAACTACTAAATGTTGAAGAACGCATAGACACACAAATAAAAGCGGCTCTTAAAATAATCTTAGAACAGTCTACAAACAATGCAGTACAGATGCAGGAGTTTAAAAACCATTCATGGCCTCATGCTCCTCTAACCTGGAAGGTTTGACCATCCGGTGAAAAGTCATTAAAGGGAGGGATAAGGCAAGCCAAGCTGGGGAAAGTTCAAGAGCCTTTTCTAATCTAAGTCTATATTATTTATATAGCAAAAAATGAGTTTACATAAATGTCTTGGACAGTAACTGTATCCCAGAGAGCTAAACTCTCTCCTGGATCAAATTCGAGGACATTCCTGTGCCTTGGGATCCTGTAAGTTGTGGTTGCTACACAAGGACTAAACTCGGCAAAGCTCCCCAACCCAAGACCAAAAGTTCAAGTAGCCTCCTTTTATGCACCTCTCAAAAGCTCTTCCCTACCACACATAGATTGGATTTAACAGATGCTAGTCTTAATGTAGAACTTACTGTGGCAGCATAAGCAACTTTCCTCCCAGTTTCTTGAGAGGAAGCACATTGAAATCTAAAACATTCACCAGCTAACATTTCAAGTTGACTTACAGAAGACAAATGGATTTCAAAGGTCATACCTGAAATGTGTTAAATGTCTCTGGATGTCAAGGTCCAATATTGGAGTGGGTCTTGAGGATCCCAAGGGTGATCTATCTTGACTTAGCAGGTCCTGAAATTCTTTACATATTTGCCTAGAACCAAAATGGATGCATAATGTTAAGGAAGTCTACCCAGTGTCCCAATGCATGCTCCAATGTGTTGACATCTCTTAGCAGAAATGGATTCCCAGGTATGGAGCACAACTGAATAAATAGTAGCAGGTGGTGGAAGTGGGCTAAGAAATGAAGGCATTCTTCAAAGCTCTGCTGAAAAGAGTTTGGCACTGGCACTATTCCATTGCTTTCCATAATGCATGTGAAATAGCAACACTATGAAATGCATATGGAATGTGCATAGAGGCTCGTGGCTTTGCTTTACAAGTGAAACTGTGCCAGGATGTTTGAAACACGCAATATTAATTTGGAGGCCAGATGATCCAGCATGTGGACTATTAGCTGGCCATTGTTCTCTTACGCTGTTTAGTGATTATATTCAAAATCAATCTATATTCCAAAAAATGTGCATATGCATGCACATGTACACATACATAATACAGCGACAACAATCCAACACAAATTATGTTTGGTTATGCTGCATTTGGAATCTACTTTAAAATGCTTCAAGTTGCAGTATTACTAAATCTTGACCATCCAGTTCCAGGCCTTGGTCAATAGAACTTCACATTTCAGTGAACAGGAAAGGCCATCAGTGGGAGGCATCTCCCTACAACCAGGACTTGCCAACCATGCTTATCTCACTCATGTCTAAATTCAGCTGCTATCAGCTTGCTTGTACGCAATTTTCATCCAGTATGTCATTGAGACAACTGCATAGGATCAAAAACAGGCGATCAAAGGAAATAGTGCTACATGGGGTTAGCCTCTTGGTTGCACACCATTGCACTGTTCTCTCACCATCTCATAAGGAAGCCACACATACATAAAATATTGCCTTCTGGAGTCTACAGTGTAATTTTCAAAAGAGATGATGAGCCATGCCCCCCCCCCTTTTGAGGCCATTCTCAGAAATAAGCAACATTTCTGGGTGCATGCCACAAACACCTCCCAGGTAGGGTTTTTCGTGTGTGAATCATTTCAGAACCCGCCTCTTAGGTTCAGATAGGAGGCCACTTCAGCTTGTGTTTAGAAGGTTGCTTCAGTCCATTTTCTGAAGCTTCACATGACTTTCCCACAGACTATAATGGGGAAATTAACAAAAGTCTCTACCTTTTAAAAAAAATTAAGCAGAATTGGGTGTTGTATGCAGAGCTGAGTTGCTCTCGATTTCTAAACAGACTGCATGAAGCGGTGTGATTTGCCTGAGATTCATACCTCATAGAACTGTTGAATTGTAGAGTTGGAAGGCACACCAAGAGCAATCTAGTTCAAACCCCTGAGACTTTTGCACAGCCTTGCTCTCAAGTTCTACACACATTTTCCCTATAGACATAATTTTATCTCATGAACAATAACTTCCATATGAACTTCTGTCTCTAAGATCCAGGGAAACCTGCATTAAGGTCTACCAGTCCATATCAAGCAAATCTTTGCTCTCTAGCATTTGAGGCTTTGTCTTATTTTTCAAAAAAGGAAACAAATTATTTGCTACCATTGCTAGTTTAAAATGAAAGCAAATAGTATTTGTTTTTATCACTCCAATCTTTACAGTGTTAAATCATAGCTCCCAAAAGCTCTGATGCAAATCATTAGTGTGAGTAAGCCCAGAGTAATTTTGGTCCAGTCTTTCTTCGAAGCTCCGCCACTCTTGGCTGGAAGGGGTCACTTTGAAATGGTATGCTGATGTGCCTGCAGATGAACAATTGGTCTGCGCTAGTCCTAGGTAAATGTTTTAAGAGTCTGTTTGGTCTTTAAAATCCTGGCAGACTAATTGTTTTTTATGGCTCCTTGGGGAAGATAAAGGGCTTCAGGAGGCCTATTTGCCTCTGTTATGTTTGTGCATTTCAGAACTTCTGATTGTAATGACTGTGTGTGGCCTAATAAAAGTGGCAGCTTGTTTCCTTCCATTTTAAGCCAGTTATGTGATTTTTGGACTATTGCATGCTGGTATAGCCAAAGGGGATTCTTTGAAGAGAGGTTATACATCAAGTAGGAAAGAGGTTTCCCTTTTCAAGGAAACAGAAAGCTTGCTACTTTCATTGAAGCCTTTGATACTGTATAAGTTATTTGCGGTCACCTGTATCTTGTCGCCAGGCAGCACACCATGGCCGCTGAAAATGTGAAAGAGGCACAGGGGAAGGAACTCAGAAGCACTTACAGAGCAAAAAGCCTACTCTCTGTCCTTCAGTGTGAATGAATATGCAGGGCAGGTATAATGCAGAAAGTCTGATCCCTAAACAAACTGGGCTGTTATAGTTCGATTGAGCCTCATATCTCAGGCCAACAGAACAAATTAACCTGCTTTGTCTAGCCTATCATGTGAGCTTAAATGGTTTGTGCATCAGACTATAATGCTACAGTGCAGCATGTACTTCTTTGGGGGTCCAGTTGAAATCAGTGGAAGTTTTGTAACTGGGCTTATTCAGAATACCTGAGAGAGACTCTTACTGAAACTGCATTAGTGAAAATAATAGCTGGTGTGCACAGTCTGGAGAGACCTTGGTTCAGCTCCCTACATTCATGAAAATCACCAGCCTTCTTCATAGACTGTGATGAGGATAACACGGGATAATGTGACAGGGAAACGAAGACATGTTAGGAGTGGTGTCCCTTAGGTCTGCAACATCTGGTCCTTTGCATGTTTACTCAGAAGTAAGCTTCTGTTGAATAAGCTTCCTCACTCCAGAATAATTGCGTTTGGCATTACATCCTTGCTTGCGTATTAAAAGAAAGCAAATAAGAGACTGACGTCTTTAATGTATGTTTATGGCCCTCATTATAATAAACTAAAAAATATACAAGGTCTTTACTCCAAAATATGGCCCTTGATTTTTGAAAAATTTAAATTAAACCATTGACTTTTGCATAAGTAACCAAAAATATTTCAAGAAAACATTTTTCTCACTTTTTCCAGAAGGCCAAAAAAGTTCAAAAATCAGATAATTTCAGAAGATTTAACATCAGGAAGTCAATAGGCTGTTTCTGGCCTGCTCCTGTCTTGATGTGTGCATGTCTTCTTCATGTATTTTAGTAAATTCAGCACATTTGGGCACATTCAAAGAAGTTTGATATGGAGGATTGCATGTCAACTGCTATACAGTGAGGTTTTCATGAGAATACCGAACTTCTTTGTCAGTTTATATGTTTCCCATGAATCCCACTGGATAATTCCAATGACAAATTAAGCAGAGATTGATTTAGCACAGTGCGACTGGTTCTCCTGCACTGTGTGTCAAGCTGAGGGAGGCACCGTAACTTATGTTGCAGTGCATATGCAAAACAGACATGGAGAGGGCACCAAATTTTGGCCTCATGCAGGGGGCTGCTGAAATTTGAAAGACCAAAGTCTGCCCCTGGTACAGGAGCACTACGGGATTGACTCATGTGCCTGGTTTGTTCAGCATGTCTATGACATGCAGGTGATCAATTCTGATTATGCCCAGTAGAGGGCAATAATAACAACGGAAAAGAAGCAACAGTCCATCTGTCTGTCATGCATCAGTCAGCTGATTCCAGTGATGTGTCAGCTGCAGACTTCTGTTAAAAAACATCCAAGTCATCTTTCTTCACACAAATGGAATTGGTGATTTTGCATTTCTAATATTACAGTGCTCATGCAAGTAGACCACTCATGTGAACGCTATATTTTCAGAACTGATACGAAGTGCTATTCTATTAATATTTACGTATTTGTGTCACTAAATTCTACACAGTGTACTTCCTAGGAAGTGTGTTTCAAACTGCAGCCTCTGTGGCTAATGCATTTACCGTATTTTTCGCCCTATAAGACGCACCAGACCACAAGACGCACCTAGTTTTTGGAGAAGGAAAACAAGAAAAAAAATATTCTGAATCTCAGAAGCCAGAACAGCAAGAGGGATCGCTACGCAGTGAAAGCAGCAATCCCTCTTGCTGTTCTGGCTTCTGGGATAGCTGCGCAGCCTGCATTCGCTCCATAAGACGCACACACATTTCCCCTTACTTTTTAGGAGGGAAAAAGTGAGTCTTATAGAGCAAAAAAGACGGCATGTATCATGGAACAAAAACACTCTAAAAGTTTGCAGAGGGTGCATGTGCTCTTCCACTATGTTTTGGGCTGATCCATGGTCAGGTTACAAACCAGCATGAAAATAATCTGGCTCTTCCCTTACTTTGTTGCTAGGATCATCTTTTTCCTTGCTGTCTGTTCCTTCTGTTCCATGTGTTGTCTGGCAAGATGCTCCCCAACCGCCTTAGCTGGGAATTCAGTTTCACAAGTGTAGCCAAAATCCCTGGCCAAATGTAAAGCTTCTCCTGCAAGCAAGCAAAAACAACTGGGTCATTTTACATTTAGTCTTTGGTACTTTACTTAGAATGTACAGACACTGTCTCTCTCAACATAGATAGATAAATAGTTGTGATTTAAAGCATTTGTACCTGCTCTTCAATCAAGAAAAATGCCAGAGCAGATTGCATAAGAGTAGTAAGAAACAAAACAACAACATATTTTTGTTGTTGAAATATGGCATCAAAAATAAAATAAAATACTGATAACCCTGAAGAATGGCAACCACCAAAATCAAAGACTGGACTTTGGCAAACTTAAACTTTGGCTGGGTTTTTAATCCTTGCTCACAAGACATTATCCAAAATGTCTATCTATCCTGTACTTTGTGTTTAGATACTACTGTCTGATGCCTTGTTTCTCAAACCAGCTTCCCACCAGCTTAAATTGTTCTTAAGCCATTCCTCATTTGTCTCTAGCCCAAGGCAGGAACACCTTTGCATGGGGCAAAGACATCCCTGCTCAGTCAACACCTCCTGGTGTGTACAGTACACAGACAGAAATTGAACTGATTCATAGAATCATAGCATTGGAAGGGATTCCGAGGATCATCTAGTCCACCTCCCTGCATTGCAGGAATATGCAGTTGTCCCATAGGGGGATCAAACCTGCAACCTTGGTGTTATCAGCACCATGCTCTAACCAACTGAGCCATTACTGCTCTAAGGCAGTAATGTGAGCACACCCTCACTTTGGATCCAAACCTAACGTATACTTTGTCTTTTGGCAAAGAAGTACTGCAGCTTTTCAAACCAGGCAATGTTCAGATATGCTGTAAGTAGCACTATGGGATGACTTCCATGGGCATAGTAGTGAGGTGACATATTAAAGCCCACAACTTGAGTAGGGACAATCACAAGATCACCACCAGCACATCATCCTCATCAACAATTCATCAAAAGGTAAGGTAACCAGATTTTTTCCCAATGAATCCAGGGACACTTTTCAATTTCAATGGATTTTGTCAGGGGACTGATTTGTAAATCTGTGGACTGTCCCCGAGGAATGGGGACATCTGGTAACCTTATCAAAAGGTCCCATGCAATTGGGCCCAATGATGTGGCTCTGGGCCTTTAAATATTACAGCAGCATCAGGGAATGAATCCACAAAGAAACTGGCCCAATGCTTATACTTTAAAGATCAATTTAATATTGTTTGCTTTCTTAAGGCTATGATGTTGTGAGGGGGGTATATGGAGTATTAGGGGAGGGGTAGTACCTCTGGTGGGGGATACATTCCACCTTTGTTCCCCACCCTACACTCAGCTGTCACCTGTGGCTCCCACAAGCTGTCAGCATGCAACAGTAGCCATACCCCAGGAATGGCTTTGACTAGCCAGCTAAACCAGGTGAGGGCAGCCAATGGATCTCAAACCTTCAATGAATTAGGGACTTCTCCAGCATGTGAAGATAGGCTGTGGTGCTGTGGTCTAAACTACTGAGCCTAGGGCTTGCCAATCGGAAGATCGGCAGTTTGAATCCCTGCGACAGAGTGAGCTCCTGTTGCTCAGTCCCAGCTCATCACAGTGCAAGTAGATAAATAGATACCGCTCTGGCGGGAAGGTAAATGGCGTTTCCGTGCACTGCTCTGGTTCGCCAGTCATGCTGGCCACATGACCTGAAAAAACTGTCTGCAGACAAACACCAGCTCCTTCGGCCAGTAAAGCGAGATGAGTGCTGCAACCCCAGAGTCGTTCGCAAGTGGACTTAACTGTCAGGGGTCCTTTACCTTTACCTTAATAGTGGGTCCAATGGTCAAGAAGGAGGTTGTATTGCCAGATCAGATATGGCCAATAGGTGGTGCTTCCTGGTTTCAACGTTTAGTGTAGCTTTAAATCTTTATATTTTTATCTGTATGATGAGGGCTTCATCATATAGCTAACTTACAATGTGGAACTGGTGCTAGATGCTGCTATATATCTGTCAATATAATTAGGACTATATATGATAAGGGCAGGGATGCAGGTGGCACTGTGGGTTAAACCACAGATCCTAGGACTTGCCGATCAGAAGGTCGGCGGTTTGAATCCCCACGATGGGGTGAGCTTCCATTGCTCGGTCCCTTCTCCTGCCAACCTAGCAGTTCAAAAGCATGTCAAAGTGGAAGTAGATAAATAGGTACCACTCCAGCGGGAAGGCAAACGGCGTTTCTGTGCACTGCTCTGGTTTGCCAGAAGTGGCTTAGTCATGCTGGCCACATGACCAGCTGTACGCTGGCTCCCTCGGCCAATAAAGCAAGATTAGCGCCGCAACCCCAGAGTTGGTCACGACTGGACCTAATGGTCAGGGGTCCCTTTACCTTTACCTTTATGATAAGGGCTTGGCAACTTAATGAGAATTTGGCCAGCTGCCAGACACCTGCCAGTTTGACAAGCTACCATGCCCAAGACATGAACTGTACTTGGCTCAGCCTGAAGGACAGCTGACATCATGCACCCTAATTGACCAGACATAAGGCCGACACTGCATTCACGCCCAAGTAGGGAGGAAGGTTCACATAATGTAGAACACCTGCATAACCTGACATTGCACTCTCGCTAGGGCTATAAAAGCTCCTAACTTCAGAGGCTGAGTGAGTCCTCGCGTTCTACAGGTAAACTTCGGACATTGGTCCCATCAGCTGAGGGAAGGATCTGATGTTCCTGGGGGCTCTGCAGCAAATGAGACGAACCATGAACTTCGCTTTTGCTGTTATCTCCCTAAATATCCTGAAGTGCCTTTTTTGCTTATCTTAATTGCTATTTAGTGTCAAGTCTTTGCTTATTGCAAGTCTATATTGTAGAGCTTATTAGACTCTATTTTGTAGTATCATTATGTCTTACTGCTATTAATTGTCAATCAATAAACCATTTTCTTCTTCTTCTAACAGTCTACTAGTCCTCCATCTGCTGGGATCCAAAAGAACTCCTTGCTTGCTATAACTACTAGGCAGCATAGCAAGACAGAGGTTTCTGCACATGCTGCAGATGGATGTAAGGGGCAGATGGGGCTTGTCAACCTGAGAAGGTAGCCCATCTAGAAGGAAAACTCTGACCCTGCACCTTCACTGCCTTGGGGGATAGCAGCTTTGGGAGAAGAAAAGGTTAAGGAGTAAACCCAACACAATCTAGAGTGGAGTTGGTTGGATGGTGCCTTGTACGCTTTCTCCCAGCAACTCCTGCAGCCAAGCTGGGGCTCTGCTTTCCTTTGGACCACATCAGCGAGACTGAGAAGGGGGTCTTGTCTTCTGGGCGGCCCAAGACCTCCATACACACTGCCCAGGGAGGTCACTTTGGTCTGCTAACAAAATAGTTTGACTTCACCCCCAGAGGCACACTCCATTGTCTTGAGACAGATGGATGTCAACAACAATGCTGTTGTATTATGATTATAGGAATTTTTCGATAATTATGAATAAAGAAATATTTTTTTCAAATATTAAAAAATGGCATTAAAACCAGCTACCTATGACTGGTTGGTAGCTTCTGTTTATTAAAATGTAAGTTAACTCTTTAGAGAATCCATTTCTTTTCGAATTTGGATAAGAGTAAATTGGTTGAAGTTTGCATTGTAATATGCATATATACGGAAATTAAATCAATTAATTCATTATGTGTTCAGCTATAAAACATGCAGCCAAATAAAGGCCCTAAGATGGACAAAATATAATTCTGATTACTTTTGTGTTGCTTGTTTAGAAACAGAGAATTTTCATATAGAATTTTATAGTTTCATTGGGCTCAATTGCATAACTGTGGAGTAGTTAAAACATCAGGAGGACATATCATACTGAGCTGCAGATATTAATTTTAGAGACAATTTGCTTTCTTCACCCCATCCCTTTACAAGACAAAACACATATTTTTCAACAAACAGGTCAACATGTGTCTCTTTTGGCTGTTTAATGGGCACTACCACATCCACAGCTTCTCTCCCCTTCTCCTACTCTGTAGCCTTTGTTTTCACAGTCTTCAGTCTTCTGTCTTCTCACGGGGATGGAAAAGCAACCTATTTCTCTCTCCTCCCCCCCATTCCTTAAACAGGTAATGCTGCAGGAGTGCTGATCATTATGCAGGTAAAGCCAGAGAGAAGAGGAGAGGAAATCCATGGATAAGCATCCTCCTAGGACTGTTGTTTTCAGCTTTCACTCGAGATAGGAGCATCCCTCAGTCTTGGGGAGGCCCAGGAGAGCTTCTTGCTGCTCCTTGCACCTGCCAGCTGAAGCCTGTCAAGGTACACAACCTGGTCCCTCCTGTGGGGCCTTCCAGAAAGCTCTGCCTTAGCCCAGCAAACTGTCCTTTTCAATCTTGCAAAGCTCCCTGGCCAATTGTCAAGCAATACAGAAAAAGTCTTGCTTGTTCAGCATCAGCTCTAGCTGTAAATAAAGCAGCCTGTGCCCCAGATTGTAGTGAAAACAACGAGCAGTGCAGCACGGCTGCTCTAGCAGTCAGCACTGTGTGGGGGGAGGGGTCCTCTGAGCAAAGTTGCTGTGGCATTTCAAGATGGCTGTGCCAACAGATTAAAAAGCAGTCCCTTCCCCTAAAGCCCACCATGGACCCACCAATCCTCCTGCTCTTGTCTACTCTGATTGACAACAGCTGGTCAAAGCTTGAGCCTAAGTGTATTTGGGCTGATCCTCAATTACAGTACTACCATAGTGGCAAATGGAGCAAGTTTCCTGGACTTTGCTGCAGGAGTCCCTGGTTTGAGACCCATATCCTTAAAACTCCATGTTAGGCTCCTGCCTTCTCAGATGGAATCAGTCAATGAAAGTCTGTTCTTTCCGCTTCTGCCTTCTGGAAGAAGGTATAGGGTTATAAAGGCCAGGACTAGCCGCCTGAGAAACAGTTTCTATGCAAATGCAATTCTGGTTCTAAACGCAGCATAAGGGGTCTCTATAGTATAGTGTATTTTAAAATGGGGTTTTAGAGTTTTTAGGGGTTTTTTAATGTTTTATGTAGTTTTGTAGTAGTTTTATGTAGTTTTTATGTAGTTTTGTGGTAGTTTTATGTAGTTTTTATGTAGTTTTATGCAGTTTTTCAATTTCATTGTTCCACATGGGACAATGACAATAAAGATATCGTTATCGTTATCTGTCTCTTGCACAGTTGCCTGCTCAAGTCCCTGCTGGGGCTTTTACTGCCTAAAAGGAAGGGGGCTGTACCACCTGCTGATTGCAGAACACACACTTGGCATGCGGAAGGTCCTGAGTTCAATTCTTAACCTCTCCAAATAGAACTGGGAGAAACTCTTCTCTGGAATCCTTGAGAGCTGCTGTTGAGCTGGATGGACAAATGACCTGACTCAGCATAAGACAGCTTTCTGTGTTCGTTACTTAAATAGTCTGCCATCTTGCCACACTCTCAGGGCAGGTGCCTCATTGACATGTTGAGAACAAAGCATGGAAACTTCAGAAACAACAGTTGTCATTCATTGCTAGTAGGAAAAATGTAACTGTTGATCTTTTGTTTTCACCTGCAGTTACAGTAACATGCTGGAACCAAAACCACTTCAAAAATTCAAGAAGGCAACAAGTAAGGTATTTATATCATGATATTACAAAGCATACCTTCTACTAAGGATGTTAGGAGGGTGACATTTGCTGCTTTCCTCCTCCCTGCAGGCAGATTGAGCCCCAGCCTGTCCAATTTTTCTCTTAAGCAGCGTCCTCCATTCTTGGATTTTGCTCTGTCAGGGAAAGGGGAGGGAATGGAAATACAAAGATTCAATGTTATCCTTTCCCAGTTTTTCTTACTTAAAATAATTCCTCAAATGCGCATCTAAGAGCTGCATGTTCCCAATTTGCAGTACAAGGCCTTCCTCAGCAGGAATTGATAGGTACTCTCAGCAGCTGGAGCTAGTAAATGAGAAGAATGATGTTGCTAAGGGCTAAATGGCATGTTAAGTGGGGAAGCCATGACTTGATCTTGCTTTCTTTCCCCATAGGAACCATTGTGAGTAGCAATTGAATCAGTGCCATAGTGTACACGAGTGTGCATATGGCTAGCCTTTCCCCACAAATTGATTTCATGGTCAGATCACTTAGTGGGGCTTCCAAAAATTTCCTCAACCAAATTTCTCCCCAGATTTTTGGAGTTTTGAATGATCAGGTCTTGTTTCCAAAGTGAAACTGACACATTTGATTTTTCTCCCCATTGTTCCTTTTTGATTTTCAGATTTGTACAGCACACTTTGTACACACAGCCTGTTCCTTCAGCTTATTTGCATGCCCTCTCTTCTGCATCACAGATGTGCAAATGCTATGTGCATTGATAAAATACATCAACAAAAAAATTGTGATATAATAGTACCTACAATTGTAATAGAATGCTTTTTTGTGTGCCATGTTTGACCAATCTATGACAGCATATGGGCACACTGGAAAGAAACTTGATGCAGTCATATCAAGATTGTTTTTGGAGCAGTGTGCTTTATAAATGTGTTAATGTGCACTGGTAACAAAAGCCGAGATAATACAAATGAATTAGGAAAAATAGACTGTGGAAAACTGCACATGTCCCAAATTCCAAATTAAATTTTACAAATGCCTCTAGTTAAACTGGATTCAGGAAAAGTGAAATTTGGAGCACAGCAAATCATAGAAACAAATAAAGCAAGAGAACGAACAGAGGAAATCCTCTCATCTCTAAAACCACTCCTCTGAAAGGGACATTAGGTGGGAAACTGAAAGCATGCAGGTACAATATGAGTAAAATTTGGGGTTTCTGATGTACTGGCATTCTCTCTTGACTTACACTTAGAAAGGGTTATCAAACAAAAAGTAGTCCTGTTCCTCTCACAGATTTATGGGTTTCAGAAGGGACCCCCTGAATGATACTAGTAAAAAGGAAGAAAATGAATGACTTTGATTCTATTAACAGAGCTTTGCACCAAGAAGAGCAAGAATCTTCCCACCCTTCACCAATTTAATTACTCGATGGCTTTTGCTATTAACTACATCATTTGTTTTGTGTTTAATTTGAGAAAGTCACATTTCTTTGGTCATTTTTTCATGCAAAGTCATTTTGTTTCAGCACTCATGTTTGTTTCCCCCTTCAATGCAGCTTGTAACTCCCCTGCCCCTGTCATCTGGGTCAACAGTGATCACAGAGCTGATTTTGGAGCCTGCTCCTTGTGACTGCCATTTCATTTTGCCAGAATACCCCTCATGTTATATTGTTCTGTAGGCTTTCTTGTGGGAGGGGCGGCATATATTAATGGTGGTCACCATTAGGAATGACCATCATGTGAATCAGCTGTCATTTCTCTCCCAAATATATTGAAGTGATGCATCATCTAAGCCAGGCTTCCTCAAAATCGGCCCTCCAGATGTTTTTTGGTCTACAACTCCCATGATCCCTAGCTAGCAGGACCAGTGGTCAGGGATGATGGGAATTGTAGTCTCAAAACATCTGGAGGGTCGACTTTGAGGAAGCCTGATCTAAGCACTGTGGAGAAAATAAAAGATAGAGTGGCCATTGAAACAATGTGTCTGCAGGAACTATCAGTGAAAAGTTCAAACGGGTCTAAGTGTGGTAACAAAAGCTGAGGCCATTCATGCCCATTCATTATTTAATGCATTCATTCTGAAACAAATGAAAATTTAACCAAATGAACTCCATTTTATATACATTCCATAGAGATGATGTCTAGTTGGTGATTGGGAGAGGAAGAATGTTGTTTCTATTTTATTTTTAGACACAAAAGTTTCCTAACAGATAAAACCACAGCCAACAATTAAAATGCTACAACAAAAAGCTGCTTATGTTTCCTCTATTAGTTCTGGTCTTCCTTGTTGAGGCAATCGTTCAGATGAAGTACTAATCACTTCAGGAAACAGATTCCAGAGGAGGCACCATTTCTCTGCCTCTGATCAATCTGTCTCAGTGTTCCCTTTTCCATGAAGAGCCTGAGGTACATAAAGGTCTGAAGACCTCACCTCTTATAAGCCCAGCCAAGCTGAGCAGGCACAATGACATGCCATCCAAGGCCCCACTGAGTCCAACTCAAGCGTCCCTATATCTACCCCATGCAGTTGCACACAGCTTTCCCTTACCTTCTCAAAATCCCTCCTAACAGAGAGGCATTGAGGCATTCTGGTGGGGACAAGCGTCTCTTCACTTCTGCGATGGTCACTTTGTATTTGGACGTGGAGCTGAGTAAAGATAAACGGCCAGGAACCGAGCAAAAGAGGTCTGTGGGATTGACTACACACGTGCCACCTGAAAAGTTATACATGACATGCGTTAGGGGAAGGCTCAGAGCAGGAGTTTTCAGGATGAAATGTTCCTGGAACACATTTGAGGGAAAGTTTTGCTTAATTTGGGAATTATGCCTGAATGGAGGATGGGAGCGCAGGTAAGGTCCGTGGGGCCAAGCACACCAGCCCTGCTGCCAACACTCACCTGTGTGCTTGCTCTGCCTGTTCCATCCCTGACCTTCCTGTATTGAGTGGGAAGGTAGGGAAGGGAATTCTAAGCACATTTGATTGAACACACTTAGAAGTCTCCTTGGAATAATGCAAGGTTCTCAGTTACAGGGAAGTTTCTAAGCACATTCGGCTAAATGCACTTATAAATCTCCTTTAGACTTTCCATCCCCAAGACTGCTGGGGATGGAACTGACAAGCTCAGTGACATGCAATCCTTTTCCATGGGTTGATCATTTTAATGCCTGAATAGGGTTTTTATGTCTTTCCCAGTTTTGTCCATTTTAAAAGCACAATTTCATAGCAGAACTTGTTATTGTTTTTTTAAAAAGTACCCCCAAAACTATATCAAACAAAGAATTTGCACGACATGTAAGAACTTCAAATAGCTAGTCACAACAGGCTATTTGCAACCAATTACAATGATTTCTTCCCTTTTTATATTTTGGTTCTGGAGGATCTCTTCTTCTTCCAGGAAAATATTTTTGCATATTTATTTCGGGCTTTTTGTTCTGTGATTTCTTCCCAGAACTGCCACTTGCAACTGTGACCTGACCTCTGGCATGATAGTGATACTTAGGCATCATCAATAGTACAGCTGCAATTCTTGGAGTCTATCGCTTCAGACAGAGGATTGCATAAATACTGTATATCCTTCTCTGTACATAGACAATTAGATGTCAGGGAGAAGGTTTCTAGCATTCTATTTTTCTGTGCATGTATCTCCCCCAATAAAAGCATTCAAGCACGCTTTCTGTGGTCTGAAGAGGGACACTCTTACCACAGGAGCTGCTGTTTGTGTAGGCTAAGTTTTGCAGTGGTAAAAATTATTAAAACAGGTTTAAAATGATATTCTATATTAGTATGCGGTAGATGTTTAGATTAATACAGGTGATACATACACAAGTGGTTTACCAAAGGGTACTTGGGAAGGACAACAACGACAATCCAGGTAACTAACATATATCAGCATTTGTATCATGTACATTTTGCTTTTATTACATTTGTAGAAGTTAACATTATTCTTTGAAGCAGAGTTTATAGCAGTTATATTCCATGGATTTACACACTTGAAAATATTTGCAATGTTCCCAGAGGAGGCATTCATTAATTGTTGGAGTCCATGCCTTTCTCCTTTTTACATTTTGTTTTCACAATTTCTAAGTCATGATTTCTGTATTTATGCCTAGTGCATTCAAGTGGTTAATCACAATTTCTCCCTATAAAAGCCAGTCCCTCAATATCTCCATTGCAGTGTGAGGAAAAGGAAGAAAATGTAGGATGTGCTGAGAGAAGCAGTCCACCCCACTCAATGGCTTGATTTGCGGTGACTCGGATAGAGAACTGGGTGAGGCCTCCATTGCAAAGATGTCTCCAAGGGCACTTCTTTCCTTTCTCCCATATAAGTGAATGGGGAATGTAAGGTCTGCACACTTGAAGGCAAACCTGCGTTCCCGCACTCACAGTGGGTGCCTCAACCCTCACAAACAGGGATCCCCCAGGAAGCAAAAGGCCCCTCCACACATAAAGTGCCCCTATTCTATTTATGGGCATAACAACTTGCCTGCCTGACTGCCAGACTTTATCTATGCCACTTTCCATATTTTCTGATTTCACCCTGCCTCCGCTGACAGAGATCACATATGCAGTTTACATGGAGACAAGCTGCTTCCTTGCTTGCTGCTCAGGGGTCCCAGCAATCTATGGCCAACCACTCTGTCACTATAATAGGGGCTTCACTAGAAAATATATCTGTGTCTATATCTCTGTCCCTATCTAACTAGTGATTTTATAAATTGCCATTTAGGAAAGAAAACGAGGTCTCAAATTAAACGACCAACAATGAAAGACCAACAAAATACTGAAACTCAGTTATCTTAATAAATGTGAGTATTTTCAAAGGAAAACACAGGCTTCATAACTAGTTGAACTCTTTGTGTGTGTGGGGAGGTTATTTTATTTTTCCAAACTCTCCTCCTGCCAAATTGTACCTTATGCTTTTTCACCTACATATAGCTTTGAATAAATAATAGTCTTCCCGTGCATCCAGATTTCAGTTCAGCAAAATAATGTGTAAATGATGTTAATTATATTGGAAGGTACTATTTATTTCAGCTCTTGATATATTTGCTCGTAGGCAGGTAGAGAATTACCTGCAGCCATAGATCTTTATATTACAATGCAAGAGACAAATTAAGTCTACATTTTACAAACAATGAGGAAGTGCAGCAATGAAATATTAATATTTCTCTTTTACAATCCAACCCGTATGTGCACAAACAATTTGTGCTGAATAAATAATTGCTCCTTTAATAAGAAAACATTTTGTTCCCACCTGCTTTTTCTTTTTCAGCGCAGGCTTTATCATTCAGCAAAATGCATCAATTCCAGAAAGGCCACAGTAGTCTTCTAAAATGAAACTGACTCAAAAAACGATGCCTTGTAAAACAACACTGAGCAGAAACAATGGCCATATCCAAAGAATTGCTAACTTGAGGAGCCCCTTGGGGGTTTCAATGTGCCCAGTGGGATTTTTGACATTTTCTCCTGGAGTGACTGGCCCCAGCATGCCACATCTCAAAGTATTTTTGAAAGCCCTCACCGTTTTCAAAAGTGCTTTGCCTTGAGGTATGAGCCACTGCTCTAGCACAGGTCCAAATCAGCATTGGGCATGCAGAGCTAGCTGTATCGTTGGATCGTGGCCAATGAGGATAGGAAGGAGAAGGGAAAATGTTGTGGGAATGTAAAAGGTATTACTTATCCAGTGACATAAGGGCAGGATGGTAAATGGAACTCCCCAGTGAACTATAATGAAGATATGAAGCAGGGTCTGTCCAAATTATGGCTTAAGCCTGCTGGGCAGGCTTCATGGGAAACCTCAGTGCACCAGCTGCACAGCCCACCCACTGAACAAAGGGAAAGCCTGGCTCTGGAGGAAAGAGCCAGCAGCCAGTTCTTGAGCATCTCCAGGGGTGCTGCCCTCAGCTGACTCCTTGGTTTCTCCTCAGCATCCTTGAGGTTTGGATGCCCGACTTCTCTTCTGTCACTGTCCTTTGATACTACGCTCTTCCCCACCATTCTTCCCTATCATGCTTAACATGCTTGATAGGAGAAAAATGTTCCCTGGAGGCTTCGCAAGGTTGCCCAACACTAGGACCAGCCCTGATGAAGTGGGGCAAGTTACCTAACTGCACGTAAGTAGGCAATGCACCATTTTCAAGGGTGAAGTCTTAGGCACACAATACTTTTCTCTCTTCAGGAGAATTGAAGGTGGTATGATAGGAACACATTTTATTCCACTGTCATGACTGTTCAAGCAGATGTTAGGGTGCCTAACTACAAAAGGGCAAAAACTGCTTTTCAGAATCAGCAATGCATTACGAGCCATGATGGCCCTATGGTGCCACTCCCAGGAGAAGAAAAACTACCATTTGTCTCTAGTCTGAACACGGCCACTGAAATGATGTTTTGGAGAAACTTCTGTATTCTACTAATCCCACTCTTTATAAACAGCATAATATGGATTCAAAAGTTATATTTACATTAATGATTGAATTCCATGCCTCATTTTTCATGCTTTATGACCCGAAACATTCCCAGCTTCAAAAACTCTGGAATATGAGATGATTCTTAAACACCGTGTCCCAGTCTCTATCATAGCACCTTAGAGCCAAAGCTTTGATCCACAAACCATGAAGTGACATGAAGCAGTTGCCTTGGGCAGCAGATTCCTGGGGCGATGCCTTTTCCACACCTCCTGTTTCTATCTATGTACACATTTTGAAACATCAAGTCATCACTAAGCATGGGGTGTGGGTTGGCGGACTTTGTATGTAATGTGCGAAAACATCCAGAATGGTATATGCCAATTGTCACCACTAAAGGCTGGATTACCTACTATATACTAACAGCTGGAGCCAGAGAAGAACTCTGCTCATGAAATGGGCCATTTTTGGACTCCCTTTCCATTGCAGCCCCTGATAACTCCAAAAGTCACTCCTGTTGGTCAAAATGAAGGAGGCTGAAGGGGTGGGGTGTTAATGGGATTTGGGGAGGAACTACAGCTTTAGATCTAAGCCTAACAACTCAGACAAAATGGGCATCCTGCTAGATCATAATTAGCAAGAAATGTGGGGCAGAAAGCCAGGTTTTATTTAGTCACTGAATTCACCATGGGATTCTGCATTCCTGTGGCAAATATCTCTGCCCTTTCCAGTATTAACTGTCTAGAATTCAAGTCAGTATTTACTGAAGAATGGTTTTTGTAGTGACTTCTGGCACTTTGAGTCTTTATGATTGATGTTTCTATCCCCAACTGTGAAAGCTAGAACTATCTCTTTAAAAAGAAATAAAAATGAAACCAATACTCTCCCATAATGGCATATGATTTTTTGGCTAATGAAGGTTTCAGTCTATACATTTTAAACAAGAAAAAAAATCACTCCATGAAGGAGCCATCCAACTATCTGCCATATACTTCAGTTCTCGTCCAAGAAAACACCTGGGAAGCAGACGTTCAACTTTTATCCTAAAATCCTAGCTGGATTCAAAAATAGATTTCATTGTTTCCGTGTAGCTAGCATAGGATAGATGGGATTTTTTTCATGACAACTGGACTTCACAACTATCCTATGCTAGCTACACAGAAACAAGTCTCATTGTGCTCAGTGGGATTTACACCCAGGAAAGTGTGGAAAGGATTGCAATCTTTTTTTAAAAAAGGTGTTTCTAAAATATTTTAGAGCAAGCTTTGGCATAACACAAGGAAGAATTTGATGAAATGTGATGTCTAGGCTTGCAAGCAGGGCCATCTTTACCCAGGGGTGCAAGGGGTGCAGGGCACTCAGGCACCAAATTTTAGGGGGCCCCCAAATGTATACCTACTGTATACCGGTCCCTCTTGATTGGCGGCAGTGAAAAGGAAAGGAGCAAAAGTCCTCGCCCCGCTCCTCCATTGCTCTATTACTCAGCAGCAGCAAATATCCCAGACGAGTCAGGAAACAAAAGCAGTCTTTTCACTGTGTCGTTGTTACAGGTGAGCGATTGCCGCCCCCCAAAAAACTCCAGAACTTTGAGTTCACCCCCCTAAAAAAAGGTCAACAACGCTGGCTTCCCCCCCTCCCCAAAAAAGCTCAATAAAAGTTAATTTGGGGATGGCTAAACTAAATTTGGGGGTGCTGGACAGATCTTTGTACCCCGGTGGCCCACATGCTAAAGACGGCCCTGCTTGCAAGCCTATGCACATGTACTTGGGACTAGCCCTCACGGATCTGTGAGGTCCCTTCCTGAGCAGAGGTGGATTTAGGAGAGTGCGGCTGATTCCGCAGCACTGGTCGCGGAGCCTTGGGGGTGATGCCACAACTGTGATTTAGAATGGAGTGTGAGAGGAAGTGGATGCACCACATTTTGCTGTTGTGCAGGGTGCTGCTGATTTTGAGACCCCAAGTTCCATCACTGTTGATCCAGCCTGCATATCCTCGGATAGCAGCAGTACAGTAAAAGATGGAATAAATCGATCCCTTCTTTGGGACAAGGTGGGACACAGTGCAGTGAGTAGAGGAGGAGGCATGAATCATGGAGCTGTTTATACAGTGGTACCTCAGGTTAAGTACTTAATTCGTTCCAGAGGTCTGTTCTTAATCTGAAACTGTTCTTAACCTGAAGCACCACTTTAGCTAATGGGGCCTCCTGCTGCTGCCGCACCACCAGAGCCCGATTTCTGTTCTTATCCTGAAGCACTATTTCTGGGTTAGCGGAGTCTGTAACCTGAAGTGTATGTAACCTGAAGCGTATGTAACCTGAGGTACCACTGTAATAAGGAATAGTACAGAGGGAGTGAAGGAAGAACAACCTTTTTTCTAAACTAAAAAGATAAATCTCTTTAGCTTTTCTTTCTAAGGAAGAAAATGCTATGGTCAATTCAATTGCCTTTTGCTGCACTATAATATGCTTTTTGAGATTGGGTGACCTTGAATACAAACAACATTCTAAATTATAACCATAACATGTGCCAACATTACAGCCCTGCTTTGTTGTATCATTGGGAAGTATTTATGTGCTGGTACAGCAAACTGCATAATAACTGCTAACCTCGGCCACAATAAAGAGGTCTTTTCTTGGTGTGCCCAAAAGTTTATATAGGCTTCAAAAACCAACACCTTTCTTGGAATGACAAACATATTGACCAACATTTTTTCCCCCGTAAGCACACTTTCCACCTACCAGGCGCTGTAAGTATCTCACAGATATAGAATCATAGAATTGCAGAGAATCTAGGGATCCTGAGGGTCATCTAACGGGAATCTCAACTAAAGCATCCATAACAGATGGATGCTTAAAAACCTCCAAAGAAAGAGAGTCCATAACCTCCTAAGGGAGTCCATTCCACGGTCTAACAGCTCTTACTGGCAGAAAGTTGTTCCCAGTGTTTAGTCAGAATCTCCTTTCTTGTAACTTGACTCCACTGGTTCTGTTCCTACCCTCTGGAGCAGCAGAAAACAAGCTTGTTCCATCCTCCATAGTTGGAAATAACACAGAAATAAGGGGAAGGTTCAGGCTAATTAAGATTGGGCTGCTATTTGGAAGTTCAATTGAAAACAATGTGCCACAGAATACAACAGGAATACATGGACGTAGCTAGGGTTTATTTTAGGGGGGGCAGTGATGCAAAACTGGTCCGTTAGGTATCCGTTAGGTAAGTATTTCTATTTATTTACTGGGGGGGGCAACAGCTGCCCCCTAGCACCCCCTGGCTACATTCACACAGGAATGTGGCAAGTGCCTTGCACCAAATTAGGAGGTGTGCCCACCTAGCTAGCAGTTGTCCAGGTCCCAGGCAGAGGTCATTTCACATGTCAGCTTCTACCTTTCAATCTGAGATGCCTGTCAGGATGGACAGTGCTGGGCTAGATGGATATATAGCCCATCAATTCATATGGATTTTCAAGGGTAAGGGTTTTTGTTTTTGTTTTTAAGCATTTGGGGGGTTAGGAATGTTAGAAAAATTGTGACTTGAATCAGTGTTGTTTTTTTAAAAATCCCTCTGTTTCTCATTCCATTGTCACAATAGCCTTGCATTCTACTCATCTATGATTAAACTTCCATGTAGATCTGACTGAAAACATCATGCTGCCTATTGCACCATCCAAATCTGTCCCCCTACAGAGGACTGTGGAAATCATAGGAACAGTTCCCATTCTGTGCATATTTTTTTTTACAAAACTGAGTTCAGCTTAAGGATATGTGTGTGGGGGGGTCTCTATCCAATTCCCTTATTTTCTGAGGGCTTGCTCTGCCTTGATGGTGCCACTCCTCCAAAATTCCAGTTTAACTAGGAGAATTTTAAAAACCTTTTGCTGGGACTGGAAAACGCACAATTTGCCTCCACTTTCAGTTCCTACAGTTCATGGTCATGGTCTTCCCCATCTACTTTAGGAATACAGTAAACACATGCCTGTGTAGAAAACATTGCAGAAAAACAACCCTGAAGTTGTCATTCCATGATTGTATCAAGATTCTTTTTGTGCAATGTTTCACTGGTGTGCACAAAACGTGCTCCTTTCCATTAGTAAAAGATTGCACAAAGGAAAATCCATACAACTGTGTGTACAATTCTATCAATGCAATTAATTAATGCACACACACACACACATGCATGCATTGGTAATGCAGGACAGCGTGAAGACATGAAGGAACTTTAGCAAATCATGGACCCACAGCACCGTATAGAAAATTTGGGAACAAAAAAGTGGAGGAATGGAGGACTCTGAATACACTGATTCTCTTTCAAAAATAAGCCTGCACAATTCATAATGCAAAGAAAATTCAGAGGAGGATTATTTTGGAAGCACCTCTAAGCACATGAGAGATCAGCCATGTCTCCACACCACAAGACAAAGACCAAATAAAATACATTCTTGCTGCCATGTAACATGAAGCAGCACATAGAGTGAAGAAGCATCCTTAATTCCACCACCTTTAGGACTGGAATAAAATTAGCATAGCCTCAGTATTTCAGTTGGATTGCAATAATTCTCTAGCACTTTATAACCTCTCATTACAGAACTGATATGAGTTGCATTAGTTTTGTAGAAACCAAGTAACACCTCTGTCATAAACACATTCCTTAAAACACAAATTCCCAAAGGCCTTCATTCCACACAATTGGTGCAATCTTGAAAAGGTTACCTATACCTCACTCTTATGGAAACCACAGCCCCTTGCCTATGATGGGGTTGGGGGTGGGGAAAGAAGGAATCTCCAGTAAGCAAGGTTTACTTTGGAGTAAACTTTGATGCTTGTCTGTGTATTTCATCTCCCTAGGTAAGTAGGATTTAGCACGCCCAACTTCCTCTGGATTTTCCCCATGCAGTGGGACTTGTAGAAATTGCGTTTGGGACTGCAGCCTATTCGGACTTGGCCAGAGAAAGCAATACAGCCCACCCAACCTGTTACACCTAAACGTTTGGGATGAGGCGGGTTTACATCCCTGCTTGGGAAGGCGCTTATTGGAGCCAACCGTGAGCCCAACCCAAGAGAAGACCGATTCAACTCAGGCTGCCAGCATTTGGGAGCAATCCCCCAAAACACAGCGGGGCTTTCTTCAAGAAGGCATGCAAAGGATCGGGCTGTGCTCCCATGGTGAGCAACGCAAGGGGATTGCTGCGACGTACTTCTGAATCGAAGGGGCTTCCGAACGCTTGAGCACAGCCATGGAAGTGAATGGGGGAAATGGCTTGAAATCCTAATACAGTACTCCCTCGTTTGGGGCGGGATTTCCCAAGACGCTCCCGTGACCCGCGAGTCCCAAGCCCAGGCAACTGTTGAGATACTCGGCTGCTAATCTTTCAGCCAAGCCAAGCAACCCTCCCCCCGCCCCCGCAAGCTGTACCCTCTTAAAACCCAGCCGCGCTTATTCCAGCCGCTCCCTCCCTTGCCTGGGCGCGTTTCTTGCGGCCTCCTTCACGAACCATTCAGGCTTTTCCCCACACCCAGCCTCACGTCTCTCCTTTCCTGCCCCCCTTCCTCTCTTTTTATTGTTGTGACTCCATTTGAAACCAGCTCGGCTGGAACTATTAATTAAACAAGCGCATTAGGGCTTTTAAATGGGACTCAATTTGCTTCCTGGAAAAAAAAAAGAGAGAGAAAAGAGACAGCAGCGTTAATGACAATACATTAAGGGCAAATTATACGTATTATGGGATTATCAAGATTTGGCCAGATAAGAGCTAAAGAGTGGGGAGGGAATTGGAATCTAAGGGGGCCGACAGAGAACGGCTGGCGAAGCAAGCCAGCATCGCCCGGTCTCCTCAGGTTGCTTTCTCAGAGACCGGGACCCTAGCTCAGCACAGTTACGCGCGCCTAAACCCCGCGGATGCGCAACGGGTGGTGGTGGGTGTCGGAGGTGTTATAATCATTCTAAGGTGTCATAAATAAAATGAATCTTCATAAGTGCACAAGGTAAACACAAACACATGATAAAAAACCACATGTCTGAAATAGTACAGGAAAGAAATCCAAAAGCCATCTGGACTTTTAATGACCCATATATTTCCTCTGCAGAAGGAAGTGTATTGGAAAAAACCTCTCCCAGTAGTTCTTTTCGCTTACAAATCTAGTGAAAAGAGAATATTTTGTGAATGAATAGGGGAGGTCTTGGGACAATGGTTTCAGGAACTAACGTATTTACCATTTAAAAGATGGCCCAGACTGGCCGAGGTGGGGCGATCAGGAAACAATATCAGGTATCTTGACAAACAGGAGACAAGCCACACTCCCAAATTTCTGTTGTAGACCGCCTCTTTCTGAGATGCGTGTGTGATGCTTCTGGTGGTCTTTAGGCAATTTCTAAGTGTTTAAACACACCTTTGTCCGGGGTCCTCCTCTTCTCTGACCGATCATGGACTTAGGAGACACTGAAACCCCTTCATGTTGAGCTGTAAAAGCCAAGACCATCCTACCCACCCCCGTAAAACAGGGTTCTCAGTTGTGCCCTGCATTCCGCAGAGACTCCACGCCGGCTTCGGGAAAGCGTCCGTGGGGCTTCCTTACTAAGGGTTTTAGGGGTTTGAAATGGAGGGAGCAGAAATTAATATTATTTGTTTTTACTTCAATATTTAAAGATGGAAAGAAAAGCGGTTGAGGACTAGAGCTAGGCGTAACTTGGAGTCGAGAAGAGAGAAGGACTCAGGGAGAGGACTATGAGACAGAAGAGGCCCGTGGTGGATTAGGTCTAACAGAGCACATCCTTTCAAAAAGATTAACCTCTTGGACATGTTTCTGCTGGAATATGTACTGTTGTAAAATGTGTACACATTTTTTAAACCCACTCCCACATTAAAAACAATAGTCAAATAGAATTCAACAGAACAGCTATAGTGAAGCAAAAATAGACCAGAGAATGTGGGTGTAGGACTCTCGCGTTGGACGCCTTGCGCCCATAGGAGCCAACATCTGGGGCCCAGGAACCTTCGGCCCCCTCCAATAAAATATTGGATGGGGCCATACCCCCCAAAAAATTAATGGGCAATGCCATTCAAATAGTGTCTTGTGATTGATTATTGGGGGGGCTTACCAGCCCCCCAATAGTTTATTTAAGTTGACAACCCTGCTTTCGTCCTAGGAAGAGGGATCGGATTAGCTGGATTTATTTCCCAGTAAATATGCCTACGATCCGCTCAACCTCACCTCATCCCTAACCTTGCCGGGTGGTTTAGGCCAGGGGTGTCCAAACGTTTTTCAAAGAGGGTCAGATTTGATGAAATGAACATGCATGAGGGCCGACCAAAGTTGTTGACCTTTTTTAGAACCACAAAGGGGGAACTGCCTGTGGGGGCCGAATTAAACCGACCGGCGGCCGGATTAGGCCCCCCAAACGGACTTTGGACATGCCTGGTTTAGGCAAACTGGTGGTTCAGGCATTCCTTCCAGTTTAGGTATGGGACGTAGTAACGCTGGCCTGCCTCACAGGTTTGTTGTGAAACGATTGCTGAGCTAAATGTGGCTAATGCTTTTGAGAGTACTAGAGAAAAACGCTGTGGTGCTAAAGTCACAAACCAGCCGGAGTCAAGCATTTTAAGCCACTGATTCGAATAAAATAGTTAAGCACATGTTTTGTTGTTGAAATTAATTTAACGAAGTCCGATCTTCTGGATATCAGCTTGGCCTTACTGCCAAATAAATGCAAAAGGGTCGCGTAGGATTGAATCCTATATGTAATTCTTTCACAGAATAGCCGTATGGATATGATAGACAGGTCTTATCTTTCCCCGCGCCGATATGGAGAATATTCTGCGAGATATACTAACAAAGTCCCTTTAGGTTTTACCTTCTGTTTAGGCGTTTACAGTAAAACAAACGGTGGCTCATCTGTCCCATCTGGTTTCTCTGCCTAATTCCCTATTCTCTACACCCAGTATGAACAGGGTCTTTTCTAACACGACATATGCGTCGTGATATATTCTGCCAGAATGTACCATAAATGCAAAACTTGGAGCTATCCTTAAAAAGGAAGAAAGAAAGAGATTGTTTGGTCTTAGATATTTGCCCTCTAGAGCTTCACTCCACCCCTTAATAAAAACTCTCTCCACCCCTCTCCCCCCGCATCCAATGAATGAGTCATTAGGCTGCAGTTTCATCATTAAGTGCCTCAAATTAAAATTGCAGATCAAAGGACCACGATCAAACCCCGGATTGCAAGGGATAGGCAGCGCCTTAAGTAAACACATAAAAGGCAGAAGGCAGAGAAGTGGGACGTCTATCCAGGCTCTCTATTGGTTAGGCTGGTTTTTTGGTGACTGATGCTCAGACTTTTAAGAGCCTTTCTATTTTTTATTTTTTTTAATCAAATAAGATCTGACAATGTTTCTAGCTTCGCATTAATGCCTCAGCCTTCTCATGTCAGTCACCTCTAAGCGATTTGACAAACTCAAGATCTCTTAAAACGGGAAGAGTTCAGATCATATTAATTCCCCAAAAATGTTTTGATTCAAAGTAGTTTGTATTTTACGTTGCCAAGGGCAATCGAGAAAGAGAGTGTGCCGATAGCCCGGGCCTTTTTCTCTTCATGGCCCAGAGGCGATAGCAGTATTTAAGCTTCTGAAATTAGCCTGGGGCAGGGAAAGATGGATGATCACAAAGCGAAACAAGAGCCGCCCCCCCCTTCTCCTTTTTTTTGAGTTTGCCATTTCATAAAACGACACAGGAGGACCAAGTGTCACCGTGTTGTCTTTTTTTTAAAGGACTCCAAAATATTTAGTGCTGAAGCCACCAGTCTATCCCTCTTATTTACTCGTTCCAAGGCAGGCAAGCAAAACACACAAGACTCTTAAAAAAGAAAAAAAGCAGGTTCCAGGCTGATAATTGTCGTTTAGAGAGGAATTCCTAAAACAGTAAACTGATTTCTAAGAAACTGTAAAAAAAGAGGGGAGGAAAACTGGGCGTGGCGGCGGGGAGTGAAAAAGATGTTTTTTTTTTGCCGCCATCCTCAGCAATGATTAAAAATTGCAGACGACTCTTGTAAATAGGTTTGCATCTTCGGGAGAGATTTCTTTTGAAAGGGCCGATCTGAATATTCAACTTTTAAGGCAAAGCTTCACTCGTCTGTATGTACAACATTAATATGATCTCTGCAGAATTTGGGCCCTCAGAAAGATTACCATATCAAAGCAGGCGCCTGCGGCTAGAGAAGCTATCGATACGCTCGCAGTAGGTAAAGTAAAGATTATTGGTTGTGATGGTGCGAGGAGCGGAGCTCCGGGCGAAATCCTGCACACCATTAACTGGAAGTGATAGCGGTGGGAGCTCGGCCACCGAATCGGGGGCAAATATTGGCTCTGGCTGGTAATTAGCTCGCCAACACCTCAGTCCTGCAGCCCCGACCTCCTCCCGCCCCCCTCACCGCCACCGCCCAAACCCACACAAAAGAAAAGGCCCCTTCCTGCCCGGGTCTCATTAAAAAGCAAACACTCCACATCAGGGCACCTCCAATGTCTCAGCTGGGACAGGCCTAGTCGGAGGAGGAGGAGGAGGCAGGCAAGAGGCTGCATTTTGAGCAGACGGGGGTGGGCGGGCTCGGGCCGAGGACTTTGTTGGAAGCGGGGCGGGGAGTAGGGGCACTTGGTTAGTTTTCGAAGAACCATTGGGCAATCTTGGCTGTAGGGCCAGAAGGCCCGGTTTGAAATATACATGGATTTCCCCACTTTCTTTCTGTTCTATACCTTCTATAGTCCTTACCAGTTTTCCTCACCTGTTTAGTAAACAGTATTAGTATTTTGGAGTCGTCCTTTCAACTCGTTCATTTTCCTCTATATTGAAATTAAAGGGTGTTTTTTATGTCTTTATGGAGTTAGATTTCCCTTCCTCTTTCCTCCTGCTTCTTCCCAAAGTGAAATCTTTTCTCCCTCCCCCCTCGAATTCCCTCCCTCTCTTCTTAAAGCCGCTTCCCCCCGTCAGATAATGACACCAAACGCTTAAAATATAAGGGGAGCCCGGCTTCATATATTTGCATCGATGCAGCGCGAGAGAGAGAGAGAAAAGAAAGGGCCCCGCTGATTTATGCGGAAGGTTCCACAGCGCTCGGGATCCGCGTGCCTTGATGACTGCTAACACTTTTTCCCTAAGACTCACTTGACAAAATATTTATTATGTATTTCGAGGACTCATTTGAAACGTATAGGTTCGTCTTTGATATTTGTCCCTGATTTCACAAGAGGCGTTGCACGGAGAGCGGGGGATGGGGGCGGGCGGGGGGAGCTCAAGGTGCCGGAGCCATTCAGCTCTTAAGATGAGTAGAGAAACAGCCTCCTTGCATTTTCATGCTGGATTTCACCATCAGCCTTTAAATCCTTGAATGACTCGGTCGCCTTTTGAAAAACGGAACGGTAAGGAGGGAGAGAGCAGCCTTGCTTAACTACAATCAGTCGCTCAGGTAATTGGAAGCTCCTTGCCAGGAGAGAGCTGGAGACGGCATCAACTCGATAAGAAGGGCTCAGAGGAAAAACCTCCTTCAGATGGGAGATTAGAGTCCAGTCAAGCAGTTACAGACACAGCACCTCAGCTGATGGGGATTCAGCATTTGCCCGTTTCTCCCGTCAGGATCCAGCCCAAAGAAGCAAGCGCACTTGCTTATAATGAATATGAACCTAAATACAAGAAACCAACATGCAACTCCTCTCCCCACCTCTGGCGCTAAGGAAGGTGGAGATGATTGAATGAGAATGCATAACATATTGTCAAAACATTCCATATGGATTACTCCAGAGAAATAGACCCTTGCTCTTTTTCCAATATGCAAGCAACAAATGTAACTTTTTTTAAAAAAATATGTGTCACCCCTAGCTCTATTTATATTTCTTAAACCACACAATAATACCGCACATTAAGACGATTCTAAAAATCAGAAGGTACAGCCTTGTGTAAAGGGTGAGGGAAAACAACCGATTTACAATCCATTGAAACGGAAAAAAATAGATTTGGGGCCATTTATGGTTGATATTACAGTTTACGTTTCTGCAGACCTTGATCAAAGTGTTAACAATAATATAAAAAGAATCCATCCGTTTGTTTAGACGAAAATGACGTGGCTTTCACAGATCCCCAGTTCCTAGAATTGTAACCCTCAACATTCAGAAGGGTTTTGGAGTGGGACTGTTATAAAGTAGCCGCAGGCGCTCAACGGTCAAGCTTCCTCGCTGTTAGGAAAACTTACCGCCAAGGAGCTGTCCATTTCAGCACCAGAAGTATCCCTGCCACCGCCTCCTTACCCGCACCTTTAGAATATCTGCAGTCCGACAGGATTCAAAAGACATTTCACCACTAGCGTGTTGCTGTGCGCTCTTTCCATATTTTTATGCGTCAAATAAGTTGTAATGACCTTATTACTATTTCAATAACTTTAACCAAGACGGAAGAAAATTTCCCCTTGCTCATTTTGGTTTACTCTTCCTCCAAATGACAACAAATAAAATAAATAAAACTATCTGAAAAACAGAATCGTAAATTATAGTTGGAGCAATCCTGTTGGAATCAGCCTATATTACACTCGTGGCCCAAATGGGCTAGGTAGCGCTCAGCGTAAGCACAGGATGGTTTCAATAGTTTCATCTTGTCTCCCCGTCATCGGTAATATATGGGGAAAACCCCATTTCACTTCCTCCCTTTATTAATTTGTTCACATTTCGGGAAAAGATGTTTTTTCCCGTTTTCAGATGTAATCTTTGAATAAATTCTGTTCTCTGACATTTTTATTATCCTTCATTCTGATCAGATCGGTAACATATTGGCCTCACTATAGAGCCTTCTGCCTAAAATACTTGCGATTCAAGCAACTTAATGAACTGACCACCCCACCCCCTTTCATTCACCCAGTGCATTTACAGTGCACTCCTATACATGTCTACTCAGGAGTAAACCTCATTGAATTCACCGGTTGCCGTAGGATCCAAATGTGAGCTTATGGCTGGTGCTACTCCCCGCCCTGCAAAAGCCAGTAATTCGGGTTTCTGATACAGAGTAGGCTAGAAGACCACATCCTGATTTTTACAAAAGCTACGCTTCGGTTTTAAAACTTCCATCGCAAATTGTCATTGAAGCTCTACTTGTGTCCCCCCCCCCTTCGCAAATAGTACCAGCAGCATACTGAGTTGAAAAGTTTACAAAACACACGCGCGCGCACAAAATGAAATGGGAAACGCAGGTGGCAAAAACAGCATCGCAAGATCATCCCAAGTAGAAAGCATAGCGGAATGGGGCGGGGGTCGTCTTTCATTTCCTAGAGCTGCACACTAAACATGATGGCAACGTTTCCTTAACGCCTCTTCTGTTTCTATTGTGGTGGGGTCAATTACATGGATATAAAAGGCACCCAGAACCCGGTCACAAACTCCGGTATTTGTTTGGAGGTTGGGCCTAGTGGTTACTGCACAATTTTAAGGCTTTCTGTTGTTAAAATAATAAGTAAAAATATAGGACTCGCAACTTGCTTACCTCTCCTTATCACCCCACCTTGGCCGTTCAACACTAGCCCACACTGGGTCTCCACTGAGCCCTTGAATGAAGAGAATAAAATAAAATCAGATAAAGATCCGTACAGATAAATTGCATGGCTGGATGCATCGAACGTGATGCGTTTTAGAAGTGACTATGTTCAGATTGCAACTCAAAGAATATATCTCCTACGAAATATTTCAAAAACCATAGAATAGCACAGCTTCTTCCCAGAACAAACAAACTCTGTTCTCAGATATGATCTTTTGTCTGAATGATTGATTGGCAGGCAAAGAGGAAGAGAGTCAGTATGGAAAGTTTTTGAAGGGATGTTTTGGAGGAGGAAAAAGAACAATTTTAAAAGAAAGTGGCAGCATACCTGTGGAACATATATACCCCTTTCAAGGTCCATGTCTAACGCGTTAAGTGAACGTAGCATTCACATGTCACACAACTAGGACCAGTTTGCAGAGACTGGTAAAAGCCAGACTTAGAAATGGGAGTTATAAAGAACGGCGACAGAAGGGGAACAATCGGGTGTTTCTCGATTCCTCGACTGGACTAAATTCTAGACTACGTTGTTCAGGGAACCATTCCAACGACTGAGAATTTTGCTATCAACTTCAGTGGGATTTCAACATTCTCTGGTCAAAACACTTTACAAACTGAGTTCCATATACTCTGGTTTCGCTTTATGTTGGGATACGAATTCTATCGAGAAGAAATCCCCCCTTTTTCTGTCTCTGTGTGTGTACATTTCTTTCACGCAACCTCTCAGTCCTTTTGTCCAGTGGCAATGTGTTAAAAGATGCATTTTCCTTTACAAACAAACGAGGTATTGGACATGAAAGAGGCCTCTTAAGGGTGTTAACCTACTCAACAGCCCGTGAAGAGTTAAGTACATGCGGAGAAAGAGTCGGTGCATAATAATAAAAAGCCCACTTTACAAAAACAACCTTTACAGTCCCGTCTCTCTCTTCCCCAAGCCCCCCCCCCCTGTTTTTCGGCATATTGACGCTGGCCTAGAAAACCCCTTTCAAGGCCTCTTTTGAGTTTTAGTGTTCTGCCTTAAAGTGATTATGAAATCAATATGGGGAAAAACTAGGCGACTGAGCATAAATTAAAGCGGTGATGGGAAAAGGTGTGACAGTTTCCTTTGTTGCCCATGGAAAATCTTTTTAGGGGTCTCAAAGATGCCCATTCCGGCTCCAAGACTCCTTGCATCTGTTAGGCTGGCTTAAACAGCCTTCCAAACTATTGGACTTTCACTTAACATTCTGAGCAGGGGAAAGTGTATTTACATTTGTTGCATTAGAAATGAGGCATATGTTGATGAAGAAAGTGGAAAGCGGGCGGGGGCGGAGATGAAAAAGAAAAGGGAAAGACTGGCTACGAGTTGGAGTTCTTCCTCCAACCTTGGTCGGGCAGCAACCCATTTTGTCACCAAAAAAACCTCCCCTATAAAACATAAGAAGCTGAAATCAACAAGCTTCTTTTCAAGCCTCGAAAAGAAAAAGCTACAAAAATCAATGCAAATTCACAAATAGTGGTTCCCCCACCTCCCCCTCGCGCCACTTTCGAAACCCCACATTTGTAACTGTGAAGAAACTGAAGACGATGTAAGGAAATAAGGAAATATAATCATGTATAATGAGTATAACAGACATTATGCATCATGCATAACTCAAAACCAAAACAGGGTTTTATTAAATTTGATTTTTGTGGCATTTTTTTGGTAGCGCTTCGACGCCCCCGCCCCCCACAAAGCGTTAAAAACAGAAAGAAGGAAAGACGACCTCTTCTTATTCTCTTCACTATTTAAATTTAAGACAAAAAATGATTTTTTAAAATCGTTAAAATGATTCCTAAGCATGAACCTGCCATCTCAGTCATCTCGGCAAAAGGAGGTTGGAAGGGAAGCGCGTTGTTTGGTCGGATGACATTGCATAAGTGACCAGTTGAATGGCACTAAGTCGAAAATTGGATAAACTATGGTGCTTTTTTGCACAGGATTTAGGCATTGTGCGCTGCCTTGCAAACGTCTCTAATCCCTCCTTTTGAAAAAAAAATACAAGGCTTTGTGCTCCGCATAGAAAAAAAAATGTACAGCTAAAAAAATCAGCAGCAGACGTGGTTATATAAAAAAAGGAGAGTAAATAGGTCTTAGTGAAGCGAAATAGTGAATGGCAGATTTGGGAGAGGAGTGATGAGGAGGAACATAAGGGAAGCCCTGTTGAAAATGGGGAGGGGGTGGGTAGAGACAGAAGCGTGGAAAATGATTGAGTGAATTTCAATGCAGAAAGTCAGGTTTTAGGGAACTGTTCTTCATGGGCCCAAATGATTTTATTCTTGTGCAAATTCCAAAATATGTGTGTGGGAGGCCTTCCTTTTATATGGTACACATACAAACATTTTCTTTATCCTCAGAGAGGAAAATAGATATATATATTTTGATAAGAAATCTGGGGACGGGTTTGAGGGGAGAAGAAAGGACAATAAAAGCAACTTAGAATTTACTCTCTGTAAGTAAATAGGACCCACTTCATTGCGTGAAACTACACTCCTTCCTAATAGGCTTGATAGAATTTCACGTTTTCTCTTACTTTTACAGTAACGTTATAACTATGTATTAATTATTACAACTATAATTAGTTATTATAATACATTGTAACTATGTATTAAAAGTAGTTAATTCCATCAAAACGCACCTTCCCTTGATGCTGATAGCTTCTTGACTAGGAAACGTTCGAATTTTGTAAAACTAGAGATTTGTGTGTGTCACAGTCAGCGAAAGAGAGGTACAACAGAAATAAACAGATGAGTATGTTGGAGAGGAAGAGAAAAACAGGTGTTTGCGTTGGAGGGGGAGAGAAATTTAGGGAAGAGGTGTGCATGCGTATGTGAACACGGGGGGGTGGAGCGGATGATTGGGTTAACGAATGGATGGATTTGCAGATCTATTTCAATATTTTACAGCTAGTTTTGAATGCTTCTGCTGGCTCCCTCACTGCTGTAGGTAGGGCCCACGGTCGCCTTCCATGAGCTACTGCTCTTGTGCAGTTCTCTTTCAGAGATATTTCTGCCTGTGTGGTTCAGTTTTAATTTTTCAGAGCGGAGTGGGGGGTGTTTGGAGGGATGCGATTGTCTTTAGGGGAGCGACCTTTGATTTCTGCCTGTCTAATCTGGATTAGCTAATGTCCCCGCCCGCCCTCGGCCGCAGGCAGCTCGCAGGTGAGAGGCTCCTCCGCCCGCGTAGCACTTTCTTTCCTGACCAGAAGGTCGCCGAGCTCTCTCTCGACAGCCAGGGGCCGGGTGGGCGACAGGCGAGTGCGGGCCAGGGGTGGGAGCAGGAGCCGGTCTGCGGCAGCGGCGGCGGCGGGGGGGAGGGTGCGGCGGGAAGGCGACGTGTGATTTACCTGCAGGTCGTCTGCTCCCGAGGCGGCCAGCCCAAGGCTTGGTCCTGGCAGGAGTCTTTGATCGGGGTGCATCCCATACTGGGAGCCATGGCTCATAAGAGACAGGTCGTGGCGACGGTAAGCGTCTAGGCAGCCCAGCTCCCTCCTCTGCTCGTCCAAGCAGGAGGACTTGAGCGCCCGGGCGTTGTGCAGGTTGATAAAGTCGGTGGGTTCTCCATGGTGGATCTGCTGGTAGTACTGCTGCGAGTGGTGGAGCGAGTTCAAGGAGTAGGCGTCGGGGTTGACGGCCGGGTGGCTGTGTTGGAACTCGTAGTGGAAGGACTGGTGGTGCAGGGGGGTGTACTGGTGGTTGGTGGAGAAGTAGGGGGAGGCGAACTCAGTGCCGGTGGTGGAGTAAGTGAGGGGCGACGTGGAGGAGTAGGCGACGGTGGAGTTGGCCACAGACTCCAGGCATCCCAGCTGCATCAAACGGTAGCTGTTTGATCCATCATGACGTATCTGAAAGGAAGAAGGGAAAAGGTAACCCAAATACTGCAGGCTGGTCATCGGAAAAGAGCGGGGCTCCAACAGCACCCTGTCCCGCCTAGCTCCCCCCCCCCCAACCCTAGCCAAAGCTCCTCTAGAGTTAGCGCCGGCAACCCCATACACCTTGGGCTGGTGCCCTGCAAGTCTGCACTAGAGGTTTAAAGAGGGAGCGAGAGAGAGACCCCTACGTAGGAAAGCGAGGCGTCCACACAGCTTGGAAAAGAAAGCTGCTACTTCACTGTGATGGCTGCTTGCGGAGGAAACCCAAAGTTACCCAACACAAACGCTGCAAAACTCCATATCCGTCTCAAGCGACTGATCTCCTCCTCTTACGGTCTCCTAACTCTCTCAGCAGACATAGGTCTCTCTCGATAGACACCAGGCACCGCGTCTCTCTCGGTGTGGCTCGACTCCCTACATGCCTTTAACCCTTCTTGGTAAAAGATCTAGGTCCAAAACCTTCCCCTTCCGACAACCTGAGTAGGAGTCGATCGTTTGCTGGCCCCCGGATTCCCATTGCGCTCTCTCGCTCTCGCTCTTTTTCTCTCTCTCCGGCTATTATTAATAGTATTTGCCACCTTCCGTTTCAGGCATTATTGGGGCCATTAGCCTGCTTTCTTTCCGGCAACCGTTTGAATGCGGCAATGGGTTTGCCCCTTTCCTGGCGACAGATGTCATAACGAATTTTCGCCCTTTACTTCTCGAAGTTCTCTCTGAAGCCGGATTATAATTAAATGTAACGGTCCAATGTGGATTAACAAAAAAATGGAAACAACCACACACAGGCACACTCGACCGTACACACACACACACGCATGCATAGGCACACACATCCGCACACACGCGCACACACACACATCCGCACACACGCACACAGACACACACAAAATACCTCCGCATCGTGGACGAGTCCTGGAAAGGTAGTTGACATTTTGGGTTCTCCGAAAGAGGCTCTGATTAAATCCCTTCTCCAAATTTAAAAGGAAAGAAAAGACACCAAAGCAACCACCAAACCACGAACAGTTTTTAAAAATCAAAAAATTACAGTCCTCTCCTGTTTCCCACAGACGTGAAAAATATATATACATATAGAGAGTATTTCTATCTAAACACAAAGAGGCTTTGCAACGTGTCTGCATAGGTCTCTCGCTTTTTTCCACCGTGCACCCTTTTAAAAACCTGTAGGAACAATTTTTCCCTCTGCACAAAAGCAGCTCCCCGGATCAGATTTTGTACTTGCAGGGTATTTCTTTGGCTGATGTCGTAGGTCCCTTGGTAATATAGAAGTTTTGAAAATTAAGCATCAGCACTGAGAACTGGGAGGACAATAGATAGAGCAGCTTCATCCCAGGAGACAAGGAATAAATATTGTATCTTCGCCTAATAAGGAACTGTAGGTTCTTTCAACGTTTTTATACATTTTTCCTTCACTCTTTTAGAAGGCTTCCCCCCACTTTACTCAGGCTAATGTGGGACCTAATCTTTTCGAAAGGGGCCTTTTTAGGAACATATGATTGAGGTGAACTAGAGCTAATACATAAAACAAACTAGATTAATTAAAACCATCCTTTTTCAGTTGGTGAGTGTTTCTTCTTGCTGGCTGTGGCTATCCACCCCCCCCCCCAATATTGACCAAAACACAAGATTAGCATGTATGTAACTGGATTTCCCCCGTCCTCCGAATTACACCAGCGCATTTATATTTCTTAGAGAAAATAATAAATCGAATTGAAGTCCACCTCCACGCCCCCCCCCGCCACCTTAGTCAGATTGTTCGATATGGGGCAACTTAGATGAAATCACACTGGGTTTTGAAACAGAATTTCAAAGAAACAACTTATCTGAAATGTGTCACTGCGGTTAAGTGTCGCTGCCGTGCATTAGAGAGAGAGAGATATAATATAAATACATACATATATATACATATAGGGCGATACCGGGAGCAGGAAGACACCCCCGCGCGCCCCCGCACCCACACAATGGCACGGGGTAAGAGAGCTAAAAACCTGGAGATTTGTGAGCGAAAAGGTGAGAAAGATTTGGAACCTCCCGCCCCAACTTGGAAGCGTCTATTTGAAGTGCGATTTGTTTTATTTTTCAGACAGCTAATTATGGCCGAGTTAGCATTATGGCCGAGTTTAAAACTACGTGCATCTATTTATTTGCAACCATCCCGGGAGTTAATTTCTGGGGGCGCGTCCGCTTTCTGCGGGAGAATCATCTAAGCCCCGTTTTCTGCTCGGAGGAACCGCAACTGTAGATTCTCGCTCGTCAGGGCGCGCCTGGCGAATGCTCCAAGGAAGGATCTGAGGCAAATGGCATTTCCTGCCGCTGCTGTGCCTCTCTGCTGATGGCGAGCTTAAATTACAAGCCTTGGAGACAGAAGCGGGTGTAACTCGCTTTTAATTGCCATTTAATTTGGTTCGCTTTTAAGTGTTTAAACCGCGAAGGTGTCTTAATAATAAGCCGCAGGCAAACAGACATGTGGCTCTTTTTTAAGGTCCAGGTTTGGGGAGTGTTTATTGGTATCTGTTCATGCAGGCTAACAGGAGCTGTCATTCAAGCCTCTATTCTTTATCCAAATGGACAAAGGCACACGACTAGAATTGAAATGCATTGTCTGAAATGGAAAAGTGCGATTATCCAGACCGGCACAGGGGTCAGCAGCAAACACTTTTTGTTGCCTCCCCAACCTTCTCTTTAACGGGATGGGGTGGGGCGGGGGGTTCTAAAACTCCTTCGCAGAAAGAAAAAAGAAAGAAAGAAATTACACCCTGACATTTTAAACAGGAAATTCCATTAATTACTGACATCTCTAATGTTTCTTTTCCCAGGCTTTGGGCAACTTTGGTGGTAAAGATTAGGAAATGGGAGACAGTACATAAATCAGTGAAATCTTTCCCCTGCAAAGACTGAGTTTGTCCAGTGATCAGCCTACCCCAGTTAAGACGCTCCCGTCCACCCGCTTCCTAAGCGGAGGCGCCTTCAGGAAAGAGCAGGGACTCTTCTCAAGTCACCTCCTTTTAAAGGATCCTGCTTGCCCACCAGACGAGAAGAGCCACCAGTCTCTTGGGATAACCACGATTATTCACCCCACCCTGGTTTATGATCATCTATAACGCCGAAGGGTATTATTTTGGTTTATGAGAGCCTGGATCGTCCTTCTGGCTCGCAAGAGTAGATGCGCACGTCGGAAGCGTGGAAGAAAGAAAGAAAGAAAGACTAAACCCAAAGAAAGGAGAAATCTTGTTCATGGCTAGGTTCCACTCAAATGCGTCTATTCAAGCGTAACATCGGACAACTAAATACTTGATTTGTTTGTGTGGAAACCTTACCCACGTCAAACTGGATTTCCAGGAGAATGTGCGGAGGATAGCATCGTTACAGCCCGATTCTCTATACTTCCCTCTCACCTGGAAGGTAACCCCTACGGATTTCAAGTGAGGTTCTGCTGCTTTAAAAGCAGTTTAGTTTTGCACACCTCAGGTGTGATTCTTCTTGTCACCAACTGGACGTACTTCTAAGTGAGTGCCTTGAGAGTAAGATGGAAATAGACAGGAAGCGAACCTAGGTGCGCTTACTTGGAGATGAGATCCATAGGAAATAAGACCCAAGTTGGTGATGGCCACCAACTTGGATGACTTTAAAAGAGAATTAGGGAAATTCAGGGAGGAGGCGAGGGCGACCAACGGCTACGAGCCGTGATGGCTTTGTTCTGCCTCCGTTGCCAGGGGCAGGGTGATGCATCTGAATACCGGAATCGCAGGTGGGGAGAGGGCGCTTGCGCTCAGGTCCTGTCTGCGCGCTTCTCATCAGCATCGAACTGGCCAGTGTGAGACAGGATGCTGGACTAGATGAACCAGTGACCCGATCCAGCAGGCTCTTCGTATGTTCTTGAAATCAAGCGTAGGTTAGTAATTGGTCGGTTGCTGCAAGGTCTTAAGAGTTGAGGATCTAGTTCACATTCAGTCACGAAACTCTGTAGGTAAGGGTTCTGACAACCTGGTGTGATATGACACTTAATCATTGTTTCCCCCCAACGTCATAGAAAGTGTCAGTTCGACGCAGGAAAAGCGAGTGGAGAAAACGCGCGACGCCCTTTCCCATGCTGGCAAAGAAAACAGCCAAATGGAGACAAAGTTTGCATGTTTTATCTTACTTGTCCATGTTTAGGCTGGAGAGCTGTTTTCACTTTTCTACAGCCTAAACAAGGCAAGACAGGCGTGCAGAAATGAGACTGACAGTTTCCTAGGCATGGAAACAACTTCCTCGACAAAGCAGTGACTCCTCAGGAAGAGGATTTAACTCCTCCCTTTCCACAACAACAACAAAAAAGGCACTCCTCCACCGTCGCGTAAACACTAGCGGGGTTACCGAATCCTGGATCAGACCGGCAACAAGGACCAAGGTTTCTGCCCCGACTGGCGAAAACGTTTAAAGAACAGCCAGACAGAACAGATGAATTTGTCCTGCCAGCTCTTTTAATGTGGAACGTAAGAAGCTGCCTTCTGCCCAGTTCGGCCGTGGCTCCATCTACAATGAGAGGCAGCGGCCCCTCCGGGGCCTCGGAAGGGTCTTCTCCACACACACACACACACACACACACACACACACACACCGGAAATGTCGGGGGTTGAACCTGGCTGGGATCTTCTGCACGCAAAGATGCGTTACCCCTGAGCTACAGTCCTTCCTACGCCCTCGATTTGTGTTGCTCTCGAAACAAACCATTAAACACACCCTCTCCTCCACAATCTTGGCCAAATCCATATTGATGAACGGAGTCAAAGCTGTGAAGCAACCGACTGATGGCTTCTCAAAAGCAAGGAAACGCCTTGTTTCCTACTATGTCAATCCCGTCCTAAGCAAAGCAACGCTAGACTATCAGACTAAGGACGCAATAATTGAATAAATTACAGTTAACAGATGCAGGTCTACTCTGAAGTAAGTCCCACTGGAATCAATGAGAATTCCTCGCAAGTAAGTGTGTACTGAAGGGCACTCCCAAGGTGTAGTTTAGTTTTCTAGCTAGCCTATTCTCTCGAAGACTTCTTTCAGTTTTAGCCTGTGAGGGAGGATTTCAGTGGCACTTTTGATTTCTTTGACAGTTTGCGGGATTATGGAAAGAAATGGGTCTTGAACGCCTGGCTTTTCTCTCAAAACAAGGCATTCAGAACACAGAAGGCCAAAGCTGTGGTTTTACTGTGTGGTGCTGCGGAAACCGCCCTAAGCTATTGCTCACTTCCCTTCTCTCTATTTTAATTAGACAGTCTGTGGGATATATTGGGGGGCTCCTCCGTTTGAGTAACCAGTGACCAAGAGGAGCTGATTCAGTTCTCAGAGACAGCTCGAGAAGCTTGTTCCACACTATCAGTTTTGCCTTCTTTCTCCCAACCACTCTCTGTTGGGATTCTTTGACTCATCTTACGATCCACAGGCACTACCATAATTTCCCCTAAGTCAGGGGTGCCCAAACCTTTTTCAAAGAGGGCCAGATTTGATGAAGTTGATGAAGTGAACATGCGTGAGGGCTGAACAAAGTAGTTGAGCTTTTTTTAGAATTTGACCCCAATAAGTAAACTGCCACAGACTTTGGACATGTCTGCCCTACTACATCAAGGACTGTTTGTGGGAGAAAGGCTGGGAAGGAGCCACCATCCATTCAGACTTATTTGTTGAAAGGTTCCTGTTTAGATGAGAGATGGGCAATCTGTGGCTCTCCTGATGGGGCTGGAGAGCCAGTGTGGTGTAGTGGTTAAGAGCGGTAGTCTCGTAATCTGGGGAACCGAGTTCGCGTCTCTGCTCCTCCACATGCAGCTGCTGGGCGACCTTGGGCCAGTCACACTTCTTTGAAGTTTCTCAGACCCACTCACCTCACAGAGTGTTTGTTGTGGGGGAGGAAGGGAAAGGAGAATGTTAGCCATTTTGAGACTCCTGAAGGGGAGTGAAAGGTGGGATATCAAATCCAAACTCTTCTTCTTCTTCTTCTTCTTCTTCTTCTTCTTCTTCTTCTTCTGGAAACCAACTCCATTCAGCCCAGGCTGAATGTGATGGTGGAAGCATAGGCCACACCTGCCACAATTATTTAGTAGCAGCCAGCTTCCAAGCTGTGTGCTCAGTCTGCCAAGTAATTCCAACAGGAAGTTGTAATTCAACATCCTTGGGCCCACAAGTTGGTTCCCTCTCTCTTCTTTGGGGGATCGGCACCCTTATAGCACTTCTGACCACCAAATACGGACAGGCTTAAGCAAGCAAAACTGGAGGCTGACAGAGAAATGCTGTTCAAGCAAATGCTGTTGTTTTATCCAGGAGCCACACATCTGCACAGTCCTGCCTTCCATGGACCACTCCTGAGCCATCCATTGTCTCTGCCTTTAGAGACAGAAGAAATCTATTTGTCTTTTGTCTATCCTTAGCTGAAGAGCAAACTGTACTGGGGATATGAAACTTACCCTCTCTCCCACTCCCTTCATAAATACAAAAGCAGGAAGCAAAGTCTCTAATTCAACTATATGCCATGTACCTTGGCAAGTGTCAACTTGAATAAAATATTGGGGGAGGCAGGTAAGCTCCATACTGCATAATTGATCACATGATGTGGTGCGCACACACCATTTGAATGGGAATTCACCTCAACTTGGGAGGGGTGGCCCCCTCAAATATTTTCTTGGGGGGCTGAAGGGACCTCAGCCTCTAGGAGTTGGCGTCTATGCAAGGTGCTGTAGTAATGGTAAAGACTTCAACACACCTCCTTCCCTGCTCTATGTTTGTCCCAGATTTCCTCATTTCCCATCATTATATGCTGAAGTCACTTTGCTTACTGCGATGTTATTTAAGCTCTTTTTAAGTAATCTGCATAAGCATTGGGCTTGGACCATGCATAACCTTTAATGATCTTGAATCCATTTATTCTGCAGCCCACAATAATGGTTTCTCAAGGTGTACCCTATCTATGATTTTGTCTTTTATGTGGCTTTCAGCATCTTTTATCTATACTGTCAAGGGAAACTGTTCTTTCAGCAGAATCCTTTCCTGCCTTTGGGAACTTTCCCAAGATCTTTATTGGGAGACTAACCTAAATGCGAGAAAGAGCTCTACTCATTGCTGTGAATTGTTGTCTCAGTCACAGGAAACAAGCGTCTGTCTACAAGTTGAGAAATGTAGTACCAGTTTTCCCTGCTATTTTTTTATTTATTTCATCAACAAATGTGTGGTTGTCTTTCTCAAGCTACCAATGGGTTTTAATGCAACCACTCATTCAGACAATATTTAGTTTACTTTGGAATATGAATATTCACTTTAAATATGTATTGCTCTTACCACAATCTTTTCAGAAAGATCCTACTTGCTTCGCTATGTCCACTCCACCAAAGAGACATAGCAACATTGATCTTCCTCCCACTCATACCTGTGAATAGCGATACAGGTCAAGTCTTGCAATCCTCTCAGCTCAGGATCATGCTGATAATTTTGGATTCATCTGAGATGTCCTTCTTGATGTGCCATCTCTTATTAGAGATAATTTTTTGTCCCCCCTCCCTCCGGGAATATACAGTTAACTGTGGGAGACTTGAGGTTAGAATATTATTGGATGTTACCAACAACATTCACCACTTTGTGGTGGAGATTCACACAAAGAGAGACTGCTGCAGCCTCCAGCAGCAAGGGAAAATCTCTTCAGCAGCATCTAGTAGAATCCCAGCTTCTACTGATTGTTTTCATGCACTAGTATTATGTGGATTTTCTTCCTAATTAGTGTTTAACCACTACGGATTGGGGGGGGCAGGGAGGGAGGGGTTTTCATTGATATATACTTTCCCATTCTCTTAGATTGATACACATATTCACAGGATATATACACTAAAGGGATGGCTTTGAAAGTGAACAGAATAGGCACCCTGAAAAACAGGTACCCTTTTGAAGATTCATAATGGAATCTCTCCTGGGGAGATGCCAAGCCCATGATAGCCCCAATATCAGCAGTTATGGCTTGGAGTGGTAGAGAGTGCTAAGAGAGTAGTCCAAGGTAGAATTGTATATAAGCATGTGGAATATATATATATATATGAAAAATGCAGATGGTTGCCCTCAAAGCCACCATGATGATGTGTCTCAAGATGTGTATTGCCACATTGTTTTGCCAGCGATGCTAAACCAGGAACCTCTGGAGCGGAGAGGACCTCACACAGGATGTACCAGCTAGCACAGATTTGGGATTTTTAAAAATAGCACAGTTGTTATGCCACCTATGGTGATCTACACAATCTGCTCTTTCAGCTGGGTCATCTTGTGAGTGATGTGCTATTTCATTGTCTTCAAATTCACAATGCCTTCAGTATAGAAGTGCCTCCAGTTTTTCTGAGAGTGACTGATCCAAACACTACTTGTTTTGTAGTCTCTTAGAAAAAAAAGGGGGGGCAACTATATAAAGGATTATCAAGGATTTCCTGACCAGGCTCTCCATAAAAGTACTCCTGGCTGAGAAAACATCACACCAGATGCAGAGCTGCTTTTTCATCAAGAAGACTATTCTGACATTGTTTTCAAGATGCATTTTAATATTTGAGTCAGTATCCAGTCATTAAACTTCTCTCTGGTAGCTGAGAATGAAAACATCTGTAGACTGTGATGTATTAAAGATGTACCGTATATTAGGAGTGTCTATAATTGATGGAGACATTCCAATAAATAATACAGTGTCAGAATCTTTAGATTATTGAGGCTCATCTACAGTGCTCATATATTTATGCACCACCAGTAATAGCAAGCATGTCTCCTTCTCTAATTAAACACACAGCACCACCATGGTATGTTTAAATAACATAAGACTATAGCACAAATGTGAAAATAATTCATGTCAAAGATTTGGGTCCTTAGCTTATGAGTCCTCTTAGTGTCAACTCTTTTTTGTAGTGAAATAAGTCGGTGATCATTGATGTGAATGTCAACATCTGCTAGATTTTGGATAATCATTCTAATGTATCATACAAATAAGTATTTTGACTTGCTTTTGTTCTTCCAGTTGTAGGCCTATGCTTTACTAGTAACACTCTTCATGTGTCAGTCTAATGCTATTAATGTTTTTAAGCCACTATTTTCTCAAGAGTATGAACAGCTTGAATAAATTTTATGATTAAGGTGGGGTTTTTTTTTGTAAAAATAAAATAAAATTGAACACATATTTATTCATGGGCTTGAAACATAAGGCTTTATTGACCCAAGAATCCAGGATGGTTGCAAAGGAACCACTGAATATATATTTTTCCTTGACTGATTCAGAATTCATGCCTTTCTGCTATTAAAATGCATATGTTGCATTCCCCAGACTGAAGCCAGCTACTTCAGAGACACTGGAGTCCATCAGGGAATATGTATTTATGTTTTAAAAACATAATTTAATTTCCCCATTGATTGTAACAGCTCATGGATAAAATCAAGGTTTTCCCCTCCCATAATTATCCCTTAAAAATTAACAAGTAAAATTTATATGGAAAACAAAATAATGTCCTCAGCAACCCAGCAATGAGAGGGTAGTGGTAAGTTTGTTTTATTTTTTAAATCCACAAGGTTTGATTCTGAAATGAGTTTTTCCTTCTTACGCTTTCCTTTCTTAAAAAAAACAGTTAGATGAAGAAGAGGTTATTTCTAAACTTTTGGCAACAGCCAATAGAGATTCATTACGGTCCTGCTGATAGTACAAACTATGAATTCAGTTCTGCAAACCTAGTAATCCCTGCTTAAGCTAGTTGTCTTCCTGACCCTATTGGAGTCCTTGACCTGGGTGGAGGTTGAAGGGTCAAAGCCCTAGAACTCTGGAACTCTTGATGCCTGAAGGGTTTGGCCCAAAGTCAGAGCCTCTTCAGTTGAATGCACTAGGCTTGAGCTGAGGCCCTGAGC